CTCCTTCATCATAGCAAGATCCAAACTTGTACGAATGAGGTGGCTAGAAACAGTGTCAGACAACGACCGCCTGTCGTGGATGGCTGCTGAGGTTTGGTCCAAGGATTTCAAGAAATATCCTCAAAGATCAACATTCCAGTCCAGCCTCGTTCTCAGCCGTCGGGGCATGGGCACACGGAACCGGCTAGCGCAACTTTCCAAGCACGCAACGTTCACGGAAAGTACTTGGCATGCTTGGGAGGAGGAGTTTGTCCCTGTTTGTCCCTGTTGCTATTGCTTTGGTTTGGTTCAGTGATCCTCCACTAGTATTACTAATGCGCGAGCGGAACGCGAGAAACCCGTCAGCTAGGTACGTTTGGTTTTCCAACTAGCGTGGGCTTGAAGGGGGAGGCGATAGACTCCTCGAATCGGATTCAGTGCCCCGGCGTTGGTTCGAGTCAGGGCCCATGCTGGAGTGAGAGTTGCTGATACACTACGCTTGCAAACGAAGGAAGCTCAGAGGGCGTTTTGCACCAGCGCCGACCGGGCTGGGCTTGGCAAAGTCTCGCTTCACGATGGCGATGATGGCGGCGACGGTGGTGAGAGAATTGCCGAGCCTGCTTGGTGTCTGACAATGTTCGACTTTTGGCCATGCAGGCGACATTCAAATGACCTGCATGAGTTCAATGGGAGAGGCCCCCGAGCCAGTGAGCGAAAGCCGGCTCTGCTGGCTGAATCTGGGGAATATTTTGCTAGGGTGGTCCTTGTATTACGCCACACCAAGGTCTGTGATCGAACACGGTTGAGACTCTCATAGCCGGCTGATATCTCGGTTTGGGGAGAAGCACATGATATGTGAACATCATAGTGTACGTGGAGGATGCACGTTGATCTCATTGTTAACAAATACGCGGTCGAGGTGAACGACCCGGTTGTGTCGGATTCAGAGCGCAACGGGAGCTATGCGGCAAAACAAGCCGGGAATTTTATTATATCCACCCACAAACGGCGGCGTATAGTGTAGACACCATGGCTACCATGCGGCACGGGTCACTCGTAACTCGTGCTTCAGGAGAGGAACATTGAAATCATAATATCCAGATGGGTAAGTTTGAGGCCAGGGGCTCAGCAACAGGCCATTTACTTGACGGTGCTGTGGCATCATGACCCAGTGATACCACCTCAAACCGGTGGATTTAATTGATCAGTGGATGGGCTTGTCCACTTTGACTGACACTTTGCCCCCAATGACAGGGAAGTCAGTGCGAGGGAGCAGCTCCCAAGAGCCGTCCACGTTCCGTCTCCGGGACCATCTAGAAGCCGGGAACTCTACTCGGTAGAGTGGGGAGAGACGGACAGCACTGAGTGAACATCGAGTGGACGTGGGGCGATTGGCCCGCTCCCCATCAGCGAACGCATTGGAAGGCCTCTATCATAGTGTACATGTACACTAGATAGTCTGTGTTCGAGGTGGGGTTAGTTCGTAGCGTGCGATTGATCTCGACGGCGGTTTCTTCAGATATGATGGACCCCACATCTCCAGACACCTGAACAAGCGCTGCATGTCGCTCATATCGCTCGTCATTGCGGCTTGATCACGAATTTGTCCGGCCATGAAATAGCAGTGGGGATCTGCCGCAGAACGATAATTGGCTTCAGCGGGGATATATTTCAGAGGTTGGGGTTGTGCGATTTCAATCTCTGGGAAAGGGGTAGAATTGAAACGTGAACACGGCACAGGGATTGTTTCGTCGCTCGGCGGGTGAATCGGGAAGGATCAATGGCCACCGTTGGCCATTAATACTAACAACGCGTTCCTGGTCTTGACCCTTTTCTCAACTCATCGCGGGACTGGCCCCCTTCCGCCATTGTCTCCTCGGCGTGGGCGTGGAGAAGGCATACGAACACTCGTCTAGAAGCCCGAGAATCAATGCCCAGCCATCATCGAACACAAGACGTTGTTACCGTTTGGGCGCGGATGACTCTCGCAATGCAGCGCTTCGGGCTTGCGGGTCAAAGACGCGGGTGGGAAGATGGGATGGGATAGGCGACTTGGAATTGGGATGGGATGGGACCGAGCTCGACTGGAGCCGGGACTCGCCCGGGTCTGTGCGTGACCCTCGCTCGCCTCTTCAGCGCCGCAGCGTCTGTTCGCACAATGGAACGGCATCCACCGGCCCTGCCTCTTGCATCAGCTGGGTGCACAGGTTCCCTCGCCGGCAACAGGTGAGGTGAGGTGCAGCCTCGGTGAAGATGCACCCGTCTGGTCTCCTGCTCATCTCTGTCTTGACTTTTCTTGTCTATATTATAGACCCTTCAACGATGGAAGGTTCCTATTTTGCTGCGTCACCGGCTCAATTGGAAGGTGACCTAGCCCGTCTTCCTCGTTTATGGGTGAGCTATGCAGTATGGCGGATCAAAATAATCAAACCTCTGGTCTGATATCCCCCTCCAGGGCTAGGTTGGTCGTAGCGCGGGAAGGTGAAGCAAGTAATAGTTGCTTATAGTAGTGTAGAGCTGGCTTCGACTCCACGGACGCTTTCTTGTGATTAATTGGCCTTTGCGGCAATCGGCTTTTCTGGAAGGGGCGACTATTTCTGCTAGTGCGGGAGGATCATTCTGGTTCACTAACTCTTTTTTAAAAGTACCATCGAGGGTATATACCCAATATGTTCAAAAGAGCGAAGACAGGCATGACAATAACCATCAGAAAACCTAACCTTGAAGACCTCTTGAACGTAATTTTCTGTTCCTATTACCACCATGGTTGTTCGGTCAGATGGCCGTCACCGAATCGAGAGGGACTACCATAGAAGAATCACCATCACCAAGGAGTAATATAGCACGCTGGAAGCAATGCTCGACGAATACACCGTCGGAGAGGAGTTGAGTTAGTGGTTATCCTTGTGGAGGCGCTACTGCAGGAGGACGAGGTTCAGGAGGTGATCGATGGAGTGGGTAATCTTCATCACGAGATGGCTGCAAGGACCGAGGCGGAGAGTGGAGACAACATAAAAGGAGGACGGGTCTGCTGGACTGGCTACCAAGATTGGTCAATTTCCAATTCTGGTGGAAGGGTAGCCACCTTCTTTTTGGTTGGAATGGTATCCATTTTGCCATTGTATTATAGCCCATACCGTCCAGCATCAGTGAGATTGGGAACGGGGTCCATCTGACTCTGAAGGAGCTGCATCAGGTGTAGATTCGGAACAGAGAGGGGGCCTGGATAAAGTTGCATTTTTCGACATATCCATTTCTTTTTCAACGCATTCATTTCTTGCTGGATGGACTATTCTTCCTCCTTGTCTTGTCTGCTGGAGTAGGATTTGCCTCAGTGCAATACTTCTTGCTTGTTGTTGGGAGGATTTCCCCGTCGTCATGAGGATTTCCTGGGGAGAAGCAGCCATCTGAAGGAGATTACCACTCCCAGGGACAAGACTTTTCCTCCCAATTTTTACGATGCAGGGGTTGCTTCCCCTCAGGGTTGCGGACTCCTGGAATATCGAGCGCCCGTCCCTTGCGGACTCGCATTGAGTCCGGGAGTTACTGTGTACCAGCTTTCCTGACCCACCTCCCACCAAATGAGCCAATCATTGCACAGTGTTGTGGAAAATCAAAGGCACTGGTAACATACACACGGACCCATTGGCAAGAGACCGAGGTACCTGAGCTGCGCTCGTCCATATCCCTTTTTATGTCGATTTTCATCTTGGCGTATGCAATTGTACGCTTCTGTTAGTTTGGGGGAGGGAAAGGGAGGAGGGAGGAGGGGCCCCCTGGTAGTTCCCTAGAGTACACCTGCTGCTAGCGCTGCGGGTACCTCCCCTTTCCGGCACAGGCTTCCAGTACCAAGGCCTACTGGTCTTGCAAGTAGCCGCATCCTAGCTAGTCGCAAAATTTCCTGAGCCAGTCGCAAGTCGTCAATGGTTGCTGGAAGTCGAGGTGGTTGTCCGGAGCACTGGGCGACTTGGGCGACCAGCATGACCTGCAATACCAGCAATACCTGCAAGACCTGCAAAAAAAGGTGCAAGGCCTGCGGGAAGAAAGGGTCAACGAAGTACTTCGTACTTGTACTGCCGGCCCATGCCATGTTCATTCCTCGTTGTTCATTCCTCCTGATGAACCCTGAGCCCCCAGACAAATGTCGATTGGGAATTGGGAGCTCCGCCGCCTCCTCTCCTCGCTCACTCAGTCAAGACTCGTTTCTCTTCTCCACCTCCAATAATACCCCCAATAACCAGGACCCATCTTCAACCCCGACCCGAAAAACCTCCCTCCTCGCTACGTGCACTCGCATTTCCTTCACCTTCCTCACCCTCTCTCGAACCAGACCGTGGAGCTCCCTTCACGAAGTCAATTGCTTCCTCGCGCCATCAACACCTCCAGCCCGTTTGAGAGCGAGATCCAACTCTGATTAAGCCCAAGGTGAGTCTTCGAGAGTACGAAACAACGCCTCGTTTTTTATTCAATCGCAATTGTTCTCTCGTCTCCTTCCGCGCTTCAGCTTTCGCCAGCAACTGGATTGGATTTGTGTGTGTGGTTTGGGTTGTGTGTGTCCAGACGGTGGTGCGATGCGTCCCTGGATCATTTCCCGCCCTTTGTTTCCGCCCACACCCCCGACACGGCAGCCAGTTTCTTCCTTCCTCCCTTTGACACCAGGCTTTTGTAGAAGAAAGCTGCTCCCCATCCATCCTTCACACTTGAAACCGTTCTCATTGTGGTGTGTGGTTTGCCTACGGCTATTCCGTTTCGCATCCATCATTCTTCAGCACACTTTATCTTTGTTCTATTTTTCCCTTCTCCCCTTTTCATCAGCCCGTTTCCTCCACCTCGAATCGCAAACTTGTCTTGTTTCGTCAAGCAATATCCTAATCACTGCCAGATTGTGTACCAGGTCTTCGTCGACAAAGCAAATACGCGCACCACGTCTGCCTTTCTGCGAGAAAACCAACTACTCGCCTGTTCGATCACGCATCGTCTGCCTACCGAATTCCCCGAATAGTTAACACACCACCGACAAGATGGGTTGTGGAATGAGCACGGAGGAGAAGGAGGGCAAGGCCCGCAACGAGGAGATCGAGAACCAGCTCAAGAAGGACAAGCTGATGCAGCGTAATGAGATCAAGATGCTTCTGTTGGGTACGGCGCTCTTCCTTTTTCGCAACCCACCCCGTCTACCATCTTGGCTCGTCCCCTTTTACGTGCTTGTTTGGCACGCCATCCAAAGTGTAGAAGTCGAGCCATCAGCTCTTGACCGAAGAACACGAGGATGCGGAGCTCAACCAATGTTTTTGAACGGCCGAACTAACCTTCTTTCCTAATGATAGGTGCTGGTGAATCCGGAAAGTCCACCATTCTCAAGCAAATGAAGCTCATTCACGAGGGCGGTTATTCGCGTGACGAGAGGGAATCCTTCAAGGAGATCATCTTCAGCAACACCGTCCAGTCCATGCGTGTCATTCTCGAAGCCATGGAAACCCTTGAGCTTCCCCTCGACGAGAAGCGCACTGAATACCACGTCCAAACCATCTTTATGCAACCCGCTCAGATCGAAGGCGACATCCTCCCCCTGAGGTCGGCAACGCTATCGAGGCGCTATGGAAGGACCGCGGTGTCCAAGAGTGCTTCAAGAGGTCTAGGAGTACCAGCTTAACGACTCGGCGAGATAGTATGTTAACCCTTCCCGGCCCATCAATCCCTTTTCGCAGAAGGGCGGGTTCGAAGACCAAGGCGACTTGTGATTGTTTATTCCGGCTGCTAACTCTCCTGCCTACAGCTACTTCGACAACATTGCGAGGATTGCGGCGCCAGACTACATGCCCAACGATCAGGATGTGCTTCGGTCTCGTGTCAAGACGACGGGTATCACCGAGACGACATTCATTATTGGTGACCTGACCTACCGTATGTTCGATGTCGGTGGCCGGCGATCTGAGCGAAAGAAGTGGATCCACTGCTTCGAGAACGTGACGACGATTCTTTTCCTTGTTGCCATTTCCGAGTACGATCAGCTTCTCTTCGAAGACGAGACCGTCAACCGCATGCAGGAGGCCCTCACGCTATTCGACTCCATCTGCAACTCGCGGTGGTTCATCAAGACATCCATCATTCTTTTCCTGAACAAGATTGATAGGTTCAAGGAGAAGCTTCCTACGAGTCCCATGAAGAACTATTTCCCAGACTACGAGGGCGGAGATGACTATGCGGCCGCGTGCGACTACATCCTGAACCGTTTCGTCAGCCTGAACCAGCACGAGACCAAGCAGATCTACACGCATTTCACCTGTGCGACAGACACCACCCAAATCCGGTTCGTCATGGCCGCTGTTAATGGTAAGTAAAAACAATGGATGTGTGCTAGAACACGGCTTGACGCTCGCCCCCAAGCGCAAGTCTGGCGACGAACAATAACTAACCCCAATGAATAGACATTATCATCCAAGAGAACCTCCGACTCTGCGGTCTAATCTAAGTTTGGCAACCTCGCGATACCCAACAGGGGATGGAAAAAATTACAGTTCGCTATACTCGCGTTTCCTTAATTATGAACAGGCTGGTTGAGTCTGGGGTCACCTGCTAGCCTACGAACACCCAACAACTTTCTTGTACCGAAAATCTCGACGATTCCCCGAATACCCGTGCTTGATCATGCTTCCGGCGAATCCGTTCATCCTTTGTTACCAATTTATTCTCCTTGTTTCTTTTTTTCAACCCCATTACAAGTTCAACTTGTGTGTGTGTCTGTGTGTCATGCGGAATACAGTCGCCAGTGAGGTTCAAAATATACCTTGGTCCTGGTTAAAACTAGGTTGTTTACAGCATATCTTTCCTTTTTCTTCGAGTTGTCACTTTTTTATCTTTTTTACTCGTTTCCTTGGTTCTCTAGTTCATATTTTTGCGAAGAGATGAGACGCGAAGGAAGGACGTTGACTTTGAGAGATGGAGACAGGAAGAAGGTCCTTTGTGTGGTGGTGTGTCGAAGGAGGGCATTCGCAGAGCGAACAGAGGGTGGGAGCTTGGGATGGAGAGACGTTTGCATCCCAAGGAGCGAAGCGAATCGGGGGCGCGTGCGCGTGTATGAGGAAACAAGGGGCGGTAACCTATTTTGTTTAATCACGACGGCCTTTCTACTTCCAGCTCAACTCTATTTTCCTTTGGTTATCATCCACTTGTACTGTAAGGAGCCATATGCTATTCCTTGATAGATTATTGACTCCTTGTCTGGGACAACCCACCATATCTCATCACGTAGCTGTTCCGGGTATATTCTGTCGCTATGTATCATTCACTTTGAACACCCTCCCACCTAGTTCAAACATGATCAATGGATGTATCCGCTGCCTCTTCTGGTCGCCACTACGTAGAGATCTGCCCTCGTTTCAGGGTGATGGAGTCTCGAACCTTTTTCCTATCCCCCTCCATGTCTCCCGACGTCTGGTTTCCCCAATTCCCGGTCAGACTGACCGCGGAAGTCGTGGTCTACGTCAAGGTTGCAAAAGGTATCTCTTGATCGTTTACCCATTATGTTCCAGGGCCCATCGGTTTCTTGTTGCGGGTCTTACAGCCACGAGCGCGCGCTGCGGCGTCTCCGGCCATAACCCTACCTAGGCCATTGGACCAACTTTATGTAGACGGCCCGCTATCAAGAGGGGCGTGTTATGTGAAGAAAGACACGATGTGGAAAGTGTAGCAAGGAAGAATTGCTCTAGGCATCTTCAGCTTGAGGTGGGGTTCTATTCTCCTATCGTGAAGAGAAGTGGGGGAGGGCAAGACAAGGTTTCCTCTCGTGCCCGGACTTTCCTTCTCCATCCCCACCGTGCCCCCCTCCCTTCTGTCATTCTTTCTAGATGAAACAAAATGCCCCGGATAGGTGTGTCTGCGGATCAGGGTGCAAAAAGAAAAAAAAAAAAGGCGTGCGGGATCGACCGTCAGTGGGAAGTCGGGGTCCGGGAGTTTGGGGAAGGGGTGAGCCGCGGAGGGTTCATGCGGCTATATCGGAGGTTTTGGAATTTTTCTTTTTTTTTTTCCATGTTCTGCGGAATGCTTCTACACATCACTGGCTCTCCTGGAAAATGCGAAACTGGAAGGAGGAGAGGAAAAGATGGCTTCCGGGAAACCAGAAAAGATCAGTGGGAAACCGAAATATCGGGTGTTTGTCTCATCTTTTTGACAGGGTTGATGGATCAATTCCATTGGAGAGGTATGTGGGGAGCAATTGCACATAATATGGATAATTGATAATGGGTCCATGTGATAATAGGATATAGATATCTAGATGGAGAATTGACCATGATAAAGGGCAACAACAAGTTTTATAATGTTCATATTGTCTACATGTAAATGATGAGGAGACCATAACTACACCAAACTTATCAACTTATCAATATCATTTATCACTCTGATGAGAACATTGAATGCCATCAATTGATCTGAATTCATCCCAGCTAGGTCTAATCATAGTCTACAGACCACCTTAAGAGCACCTTATCCCCCTCACAACAAATTCTCCTTCTCATGATAAAAGTTTTATATCAATTACTTCACCTCTTCATTAGGATCCCCTTGTTGCCTCTGGTACTGTACCATAACAGTCAACCAATGCCCATTAGCTGATGTCAACTAAAGAGAGTAACAGCCATGTGAAGGAGAGAAAAGGGAAAACAAGATGCAGTGCACGAGGTCCTAATACAAGACCTATTATATGGGCAGACTCAGTATAAAGGGAGGAGGACTCAAATGGAGGAGGGTACTGAGGGCCAACGCCACAACGCCATCCTCGTATACATGTAGTAAAGAGAAGGTCTTTGCTCTGTGTGAAAGGAACAATCGAGAAGAAACGCCCCGCGAGAAGTCTGTTAGAAGAGCTTCTCTATCCCATCGGAAAGAAGTAGGAGGTTCTTAGGGGAGTGATACTATGTCCCATCTTCCTCTCCTCCCTCCATTGAAGCATCAGGCACCGTGCCTGGTTCGCCGGTAATCTGTTGCCGAACCTGCACCCCGGGATGGGAGGTAGCCCTCAGGTCTTGTGCTCTATGGTGGTGCTGCTGCTGCTGGAGTTGGTGGTGCTGTTGATGTAGCTGATTCTCCGTCTGCACAATTTCTTCGTACTCGAGCATGCTGAGGACGAGCTGCTTCGCGGCGATCTCGACCTTGAGGAGCTGCCGTGCCTTCCTAGTCGTAGCTTCACGAGCTAATGCCATTGCCCGGTCCATCACAACCTTTGCCTCCGAGTCGTAGGGGACATGAGAGAGGGAAGGGTCGTGGGCGAGGACGCCTGGTGGCAGCTGAATCACACCCGCAGGTGCCAGCTGAGGAAGACCAAAGCTGGCGGCGGGGTTCGGGGCCGGTGGTAGCACCGCCGGTTGGTGGCCTTGGGGGTTGTTTGTTTCTATAAGGGAGTAGGACTTGTCAGCGAATCTAGCAAAAAAGAGACAGAAAATTTTTAAGTGGCAACCCCCTTCAAAAGTGATGGGGAGGGGGCAGCTTGTTGCAAAGTACAATGGAAAGCAGCCTTGAGGGGGCGGATAAGAGGATTGACCATACCATGGAATGAACATCTTGCGCCGCTGGCATTGTACCAGCAGTTCGCACAGCTACCACACATTTGGCCGTCGACGACGACACAGACGGTCCAAGGACCATGTCCCTTGTGACAGTTCTTGCACGCGCTTGCTGCCTGCTGACCCGAGACGTGAGCCAGAAGAGCCTCGACGTTGCTACGTCGGACAAGGTTCAATTTTTGTTCCTTGCGTCTCTGCAGGGCTAGACGACGACCGGGTTGGCTCATGAGCCGCCTGGACAGAGTGCTTGCTGTCTGGTCAAGGTCGAGATTATCGTAGCCGCTCTCCTGGCGAACTCGGCCGCGGTTTGTACGGGACCGGGCGAGCCGGCGGCGGCAGCGGCAACACTCGCGGCAGCGGCAGCGGCGCCCACAGCATCCTGCATCTGCGCGTCCATCTCCTCCTGCTGGGCCAGGGAGGCGAACTGGGCCGCGGTGCTAAAAGCCTGGAGAGCCGGGTGGATGCTGGGGTCGGCGGCCGGAGGCAGGGCCGAGGCGGGATCGGAAGCCACGTCGGCAACGAGACCGAGCTGTCTCTGATGCTGCTGGACGCGATGGAGGGCGTGCGCGTCGTCGACGTCGGGGTTGCTGTCGTCCTCGTGGGAAGGAGGCGCGTCTGGATAGAGGTGGTGCTCGTGCTTCAGGTCGACCTGCTGGTGTTGGGGCTCGCCGTCGTGGATCTGGCGGTGTGACTCCTCGTGATCGTCGTGGTGCTGGTCGGGATCGGTGAGGTGGTCCTCGTCCGGCTGGTGGTGGTGCTGCAGCGCGTGGGCAGCTGCCGTGAGGTGGTCCACGGCGTCCTGAATGACGGAGTCGGGTCGACTCGGAGGTCGCTGCTTGCTGGGTTTCGTGACTTTGTTGGCGCGGCCGCGCATTGAAGATCGCATTGAAGTTCGCATTGGCCCGCCTCGAAGGCCAAGGGGAAAAGGGGAAGGGAAAAGCAAGACGCTCAAGGCCAAAGACAAAAAGATAAAAGAGAAGCTCCCCGGATAGCTGGATCCCTGGCAGTCCGTCCTGTCACCTCGTCGTTTTTGGTTGGAAATGGCGGGAACAGATGGAAGAAGATTTTGCCAGCTGGCCTGGGGTGGTGGGTGATGGTGTGTTTTTTCTTCTCCCTTCGTCTCGCTCCTTGCTAGGAAGCTCTAATGTTATCCTTGGCAATGTTTTGATGCAAATCGTGCGTGAGCCAACCATCTTGATCAGTCAGCATTGCTGAACTTTGTGGGTTTGTCATCATATCCTCCCGCCTCTTTCATGCACCCATAGCACCCACAGCACTTTCCTTCGCGGGACTGGCCAGTGACAAGAGCCTCACCGTCACTTTGAGGATATGTAAAGGCAGGAGCTGCTGGATTTTGCCAAGTTTACTGCTTTGCCTTTGCCTTCTTGGTTGTCCTATCTAGGCATGTCTAATCCTCTTTACTTCCTTAAATATAATGGATCTATATATCATGGATCCATGGATGGATGTATTATAAACCTAGAAGACTCTCTCAAGTCAGCTCTAGGTTAATACCTTTGGTGCTTGTCGCTCGGGATGAGGACACTGGCCAGCTATTTCGAGGTAAGGACCTGTTTTGAGTGTGGAGGGATGTATCCATCTCTGAGCAGTTCAAATGCTCCTCATTTTTCGTCATTTTGCCTCGAACTCAATATGCTTAACCCAGAAAGATGCAATGATCATTTGATGAACTCCAAGTTTTTCGGAAATCCCAACCTGGGGTTCGATAACAATGTAATTCAGGTTACCCCCTCGGTTGTATCTGCACTCTATCTTTGGTGGATGTGCTTGATTAAATCCATTTTGATTAAGCTCCTAGCTTGGTGTACAGGGAACGATAGCTCCCCCTAGACGCTCAAGGAGCTGCCGAACCCCTCTGAAGGAGTGCATGAGGGAATGCAGGCATCTCTTTTAACACAGCCCAACGGCAAGAGCCCCTCCTTCCGATCTCAGACTGAGCTTGACTTGGCTCCCCTGCTGCCTGCAGCCACGAAAAGAAACTGCTCTCGTGATGGGTTCCACGACTGGCAAAAGCAGGGCTGCCATTCAAGCATCAATCAGATGTCCGCCAAGTCGAAAAGTAGGGTTACACGGCACAAAAACACATCAGCGCTTGGGGAGGAAACAGGATGGCCAGGCCAAAACGTATCTCGACCGTCTCGGCCGACCATTCTTGTCTTCTCGGTTGGTTGCACGCTGGCAAAATACCCTCCAGGGTCTAGGGATGGGACAGGTTGGACGTCGGTGTACGAATCTGGCATGGCTCGGCGCCCACCTCTCCATTCCACGCAAAGTCCAAGCTGAGCAAAGGAAATGATTAGATCGCCCATCGGTATGTTAATGAAGATATTCTCCACCGCCAAAGGATGCACGAAATTTCCAGGATCTAAAGTAGCTAGGGGACGGGAGGAAAAAAAAAAACCGGAGATGATAATAATCATAATAGCGGGAATGAAAATAGTTGTGAAGCAAAATGTACTTATTTGATGGTCGGCACCTTTCCAATCTTCTGGAGTCGTTTCCTTTCGCAACTCCCGACGCGCTTCTATAGGAAGGACCACTTAGCGCATTGGCTTATATCTTGCTGCCTTCGCTGTTTTGTTCAGTCCTAGCAAAGTAGCCCACCCCTTCTCCTCCCCCATCTACACCCTCAGTCGTGCCTGACAGAGGACATAGATAAACAAGTCTCTCTCCCCGCCCAAAGCTTTCGACCCCCTCCCCTCCCCGCGTGCGACCAGGTCCCCCACCTCAAGAAGCAAAATGCCCGTCACAATCAAGCCGTCGGCCCACGACGCATCGACTTACGGCGCCGCTTCGCACCTTCACAAGCCCGTCTCCTCAGCCGAGCGCCTCCTCAAGTACACCCTCGCGGATTCCAACAATGACTCTTCCCCTCCCAGAAAGATCGTCAAGAGCACGTATACGGCGCTCTCCTCCGATTCGCCACCCGCGTACTCCTCCAAGAACGGATTCGTCCACGCCTGCATTGAGGCATACAACCAGCACCTCCATCTGCAGGTGAGGCCGGAAGATGTCTGGGTCGCGATCTTGACGCAGCTGAGCATCTACGTCAACGCCAACGCCGAAGAGCTGAGGCACATCTTTGTGAGCCATGATGAGAAGAAGGACCTGGAGCTTCTCGACGACGGCCTGGGCCTCGACTACACGAAATGGGACCACGGCGAACTCGCCTACAGGATGACCAAGCTCATGGCCGGCGCTATCCACGACCCGGAATGGAGGAGTTGGATCCTGCCCGAGTTCTCGACCACGACCAAGGTGGATCAAGCGGTGGCAAGCGTGATCTTCATGGGGACCTTGCAAAAGTACTTTACGTATGCGTGGGGCACGAGATGCGGTCTGCCCTCCGTCACGCTTCTGGGCACCGCGCAAGATTGGCGGAGGATACGCGACAAGTGCAAAGCTCGCCTCCCGTTACTTGGCCCCCAGTGCGAGCAATGGCTATCCGTGCTGGAGCCTGTTCTCGACGGTTTCGTACAGAGCTTCAAGGCTCCTGAATCAGAAGAAACCATCTCCTTTGGCAACGCATCGTTAATACCCACCTTCCCAATGGAAGCGGCACGACTACCTACTCTGGCTGGATCATGTCGTTTTGTTACTGGAGCGAGGAGGGAGTGTGCTTGCACCCTCGAAGCGGGGCCTCACCGACGACACTAGACTCAAGTACAATGCGCTTCCGGTAGGGTTCACAAAGGTGCCCGTTACCTTGATAGTCGGCCTTTCCGCAGTTCGCGTCGAGATGGTCGCAGGGTCCCTGTGCTTCAGGGCGTCGGATTCGCGCGCGACGACCCGAAAGGGAGGAAAGCACAAGGACCTCGATACTCTCCAGCCAGAGACGGGATGGATCATGTACGAGACGTAGTTTGAGCAATGGGGGCTTTATTGTTGGTTTTAATAATCCCCCTGGCATTACGAGTTATGACCATCATGAGAGCGGGCATTATTTTTACGTCGTGTTTCAGTTTCGGTTCAGAGGCGTAGAATCCGTGCTGTTATCTATATACGTTGCGATTCTCCCCTTCGCCCGTTCTCTTGTTACCTACGAGGTTGCTGCCACATGCTACCTCCTTGGTTTCCTGTAGCCTCGTTCCACATCCTCGCAAACTCGGCCAAGCCCCCTCGCCCGCCATGCTCGCATCGACAACCTCTTTCGGGAGTTTGTGTGCAGAATACTGCGTTGAGCTAAAATTGAAGGCGGCCGGGTCGTCCTTTTCGATGAGCCGCATCTCGGGCTCGAGAATATCCACGTCGTCTTCATCCGTAGTCTCCCGGCGCTGCTCGACTCGGTAAGGTTGATATCTTGAGTAACCGAGCCGAGCGTAGGATTCGGCACGCGCATGTCGAGAAGCTCTCCCCAGTCGAAAAGGAGGGTATCGGTCCGGGGCGCCCATGGATTGATGTCCATCAACCTTACCTTTCCTAGATCATCCGTGGCGTATGCGTCTTCTGGAATGTACACGTCGAAGATGAAGCACGGGTCCGGGAAGGAGGTCTGTAGCTTCTCAGAGAAGAACTTTTGAATCCGGGAGGTGATGAGTGGCCGGAGCTTTCCGAGGAATTCGAAATGGTTGACGTCTCGCTGCGAGATCCCGACGAGGCTCCGCTGTTTGACAAAACACCTAAACTCAAGCGAGGGCTGGATAGGGAAATGAGGGCGGAGGACCAAAACGGGTGTAAAGGGCAGGGGTTGAGAGGCCGGAGCGCAGCCGTCAAAGGGGTGCTCCAGGTCGTGGCTCGCGAAGCTGGAACTCTTTATCAAGAGGTAAATGTCATTGGCTGTCGTGCATTTGAGGTTGTTGAAGGGTGATATCCACGTGGCGTCCTTGGGCGACGACCAGTTGAGCTTGGGTACCACACTGCCCCCGAGTTCCTGGATAGTCTCGGTTATCTTGGCGTGGAGCTCGGGAAAGCGACGATTTGGCGGGACCGGGGTCGGTGAGTCGTCGTCCGAGTCGTCCGAGCCGTCGTCCTCGTGCACTTGCGTAGGAGGTTGCCGCGAGGTAGACTGTGCGGGTTGGTGCCACTCCTCGTCCGATTGCGCGCCATCGTCGGGGTTTCGTCGTCGTCGTCGGCGAGTATTATACCATCTTCGCGCAGGTAGGCGACGAAGTCGGGCGGGAGAGGGATGATTCGGGATTTTATGCAAGAAGACTTATATCTAGAATAACCGGCGCACGTCAGCGTGAGTTCCCCTGGGGAAAAAAAAAAAAAAGGGCTTTAAGAGTAGATAATAGTACTACCTGACTCAAGGGAAACGTCCAACATACTTAGGGAACCATTTGTCGTAGGAGCAGTTGAGAATGTGCTCTCGAGTTACTGGCGGGAATGAGGGTGCGTCTTCGCGGGTGGTGGGGTTGTGAGGTGGCGATGCTCCTTGCGCCAGAGATTCTATCGACGGCATAGTGGGGAAAGAATCTTGCCCTCAGACAAAGCCGATCCGGATTGAGGTCTGCGAGAAAAGTGGGAGAGAAAGTCACAAGGTTTTGTTTTTCTTTCCAAGATAAATGAATAAAAATCCCAGGCTCGCGAGTGGAATTTGGCTGTTAAAGAAGAAGAGGCTCGCAGAATGTTCGAGAGGTGGACATTATACGCTAGAAAGAATTATAATAGTTCCGTGACTCAGTCTTGCCCCTCCATGACCAACCATCATTGCAACTGCAGCCATTGATTAATCCATGCAACCACTCAAGTCATAAATAATTCTTGCCGCCCCTCACCGCTATCACCAGGTACCTTTCTTCGTCCCGCAATGACTTAAGTCGCCTCTGGCTCTCCTCAGCTTCCCCAGCTTGTCGATTGGTGTGCTTTAGGCTTTCAACGACTCGAAATCCGTTCAGCGAGGCAAATTTTCACCCGAAGAGACAGAGCGTATTCCGATATACGCAATCCACGACTTCATTTCCCGACTGCATCGTACCCCGCTCTCCAATCGTTACAATGTCTAGTAATGTCGGCCTTGACACGCCCCGCGGCAGCGGTACCTCGGCTATGTTCAGCGGAACCTGGCGCACATGAAGCCGCGCGATTACGGAATCCCGTACCCCCAGGACGCGGACCGCATGCGACACAAGCAGAGGCAGCCCGACAAAGAAATCCTAGAGCACGAGGCGAAGAGAGAGATCGAGGTGCAAGTCCTGGAGCTCCGCGACCAGCTCGAAGACGAAGGGTGAGCGCGCGCCTCCCATTCCGAATGCTTGGCGGAGGGTAGTGACTAACGGGATACGGATGATTTAGGCTTGACGAGGACGAGATTGACGATCGGTGCGACGAGCTGAGGAAGAAGTTGCAGGAGGAGCGTAAGAAGGGCGGTAAGCAGGGACGGAGGGGCTTCAAGACGCACGAGGTACACAGCATGGCGGACGCCAAGATCAAGGAGAGTGAGAAGTTGCGAAACGCGCTCAAGATTAGCAAGGACTACGAGGAAGGCGACCACTGGAGGAGGCAGGAGGAGCGGACGAGGGGCGCTGGCTCGTCGAGGGTAGAGGCGGGCGGGGACAAGGAGCGAGAGAGGGAGTCGCGGAAGAGGGACGACTGATGGATAAGTGTTTTTTTTTTTTTACCCTCGCGATATGGATATCTGCGTCCTCTTCTTCCTTTTCCTTATCTTTATTTGAGTTTTTGGCTGTCATTTTTGGGCTCGGGTCTTGTTGGGCAATCAACATCTGCTATGCATCCTCTTCCGGCGTCTGGGTTGATGGGTTGACGAGCGCATTCAATAAAACATATCTATGAATCTTGCCACGAGTCATATCGTCTCTCCTCCTATCCTGCCGCTGTGATATCCTTGGCTGCAACTGGACCCGTCTCCCACGGCGGTTTGAGGTTTCGGGGATGTCGTCATCAATCAATCAGACAACTGAGGCTCTTCGTGAGCGGACTTGGGCGGGTTTGGGGAGGTTTGGTGGATGAGAGCGCCTATATTTTGTCAGTTTTGGGCACCGAGGCCCCATAATGATGCCCCTCGTTAGTGCACCAATGGGGCCTTTGGGCGCCGTGGTCGAGTCCACATTTACCCCAAACAGCGACGCAGGACAATAATGGCTGACTGCACGGATCAATTGATCAAGTGGATTTCCACGTCACTCAAGTATGACATGTACGATCCAAGCTTCGCTGTCCTCACGAAACTCTTTTTCCCAATCCACTACAATTAACGATGCTGTTACGCCAACCACCCCGCCCCCGATCACTTTGAAATTCGACCGAGATAGACTACATCCAAGAGAATATATAGCCTCGAGGCTTTCTTTTCAACTAACCCCCCGTCATGGCTATAATCACCATGCCCTCCGCCGCCGAGCCGCTCGTGACGGGATCCGTCGACCAGACAAATGCAGAGCTCGGTCAACTCCTACTCCGCCTACAAAGCGAAATATTATTCGTAGACCCGGCCCGCGAAAAGAGGTTACGGTCGAGCCAGCTAGAGCGAGCAAGGATAGACAGGGTACATTCACCGATCAAACCCATTACGTATGGGCGGCGCCTTGAGGGCTAACCTGACTTTTTCTGTTGTAGAACCTCCAGTATGCGCGGTCGATGCTCACGAAGCTTGAGCACGAGTCAATGGGACTGAAGGCCCAGTTGACAAAGCACGACCTACACGTGGATCTCAATCGGAAGAGGGAAATGTTTGAAATCTTGGCGGATAGACTAGAGGACTTGAACCAGGTAGGCTTCTTAATACAGCTTCCTGCGCCGACGCCCGATACTAACTCGCTGTCGCCTTCCATAGCTGGAACTCTCGGATGACGACGATGATTCGGATTTTGACGGAGAGGATATCCTAGCCGGAATAATAGCTACCCCGAGCGACAGCCTAGACTCGCAGTCTGCCGATCCACACGCGGCGTCCCAAACGGACGACGAGGGCATACCGCCGCCGCCCTCAGTCCTTGCGCAACAAGAAAGGCCGCCGAGACCAGAATCCGAACCGGATCCCGGAAGCACACAGTCTCGCGGCTCGTCCGATGCTCAGTTCACCCCAACGTCCTCGCCCACCAACACCACCGCCTCCGTCTCTCTCGACGCCAACCTCGCCGCGAGCCAGTCCTCTCTCCGCGCACGCCGCTCCGCCCCGCAGTCCGAATCCTATAGCACCGCCCGCAATACTCTCCTCTCCCGCCGCAGAGGCGCTTCCTCCGTCGGCACCGCTCCGGCCACCACACGGACGTCGACGGCCACAGCCGAGGCTATCCTCGACAACCAACGCGCCGAGCAAGAGGCGCTCGTGGACAACATTCTGCAGTACGCCACTGCTCTACGTGACAACTCGCAGCGTTTCAACGATACCCTCGAGAAGGACAAGGCCGTCTTGGAACGCGCTGGGGAGGGTATGGACCGAACCGAGACGGGCATCGAGACCGCGAGAAGGCGGATGAACGTCCTGACCAAGATGACGGAGGGCAAGGGCTGGTGGGGTAGGATGCTGCTCTTTGCTTGGGTCTACGGCTTGATGGTGGCTTTGCTCTTGGTGGTCTTTGTGCTGCCCAAGTTCAGGTTTTAAAAGTCTCCCAGTCTCTGGCAGGGGAGAGGACTAAGCCACGCCCTCTGCTAAGGAATATCTGCGCGTGAAGACGGTATTTAAGGGACGGATGCATACACACGCGCACGCACATACGCTCACACATACACACACACATACACACAAGGGAGCACCAAACTGCCGGACAATGTTTGAATACATGTACATCACACGGCCAACGGCCATTTCATAGTTTAGGGAATGTGACCATGAAGCTTAACGTTAACGGTATCTGGGGTGTCAAATTTAATGGCCTTTTTAAAAAAAAAAAGAAATTCAATAAAAACGAAAGAGTCCACTCTACGGAGCGGCCGCCCTCACTTGGACTACACACCTAGCCTGCTGGTTGTTACTTCGAGTGTGCGCGTTTCCATGCAAAGATGGTGCGGCAAGAATGAGTGTTCTTTCATGTCTTTGTTGATCGTTCGTCACTGCTGCGATCTTGATCATCGTCCGGGCTAGTTCTTGGCGGGGATGCTTCCTCGCCTGCTTCAGGGTGCAAGCTTCCACATCAACTTTGCCTAAAGCAGGAACTTGGGTCTGTATATCCAACTCGGGCAACGTAGGATTTCCTACCAAGGGGGAGTATTGAAACATACTCCTAGGGGTCGTTCCAGCCTTCTCCACCCTTTCGTCCCACCGAATACCCGTCTTGACCTTGAAGAAGGACGCGAAGTGGTGGAACTGCTCGGTCCGCAGGCCCGAGCACGTCGTGGGTCTGTGGAAGCTGGGCGCGGCGTCGCGTGGATGTCGCCAGAATTTGGCGGCGAACCAATACAGTGGAGGTTGCGCGTTGGACTCGAAAAACTGGTGGTAGAGGCCGTTGATTAGCTTTCTCCTGGCATGCCAGTCCTTCTTTCACTTTACTTTTTTTTAGATGGGAATAGAGGGAGGAGGGTTGGGGAATGGTGCTCCGGGGATATAGGTACTGAGAGAAGGTGTTTCCTTTCCGGCGGGAAGCGGGGGAGGGAGAATCTGCGATGAAATGCATTAGGAAAACAGGGTAGCAAGGGCTTCATCTACATATCTTAGCATACAAAAAGGACATATCTCTGACCAGTGTTGCCACTTTCGACGTCGTCTCTCGTGAGGGTAATCTCGTACAAAAGTCCGGTCTCGTCTCGGAACACGTGAAAGAGATCTAGAAGGTGAGCGGGAAGTCAGAAACCCTTCAATGGGCGAGAAATCACAATTACGCAATCTCTCTTCACGCACACACTGGAACATACTGGTATTCACGAATCTGTCTTCAGGATCCTCTGCTTTTCGGAACCGGACGAGTTCCCGCTTGCGCTTTTGTTGCTCTCGCAGGCTCGCGCGGAGGTCATGGTCGCGCTCCCGCTCTTTCTTGTTGGTCTGGCAAGATAAATCGAACCAGTCGAGGGAGAGGAGGTGAACGTGCTTGAACCTTTTCAGCGCTTCTTTGACTGCGTGTAGCCCTCATCAACCAAAAATTAGCCGCTATCATACTCTCGAGAAAAAGGCATGAGGCTTGGGAAAGTATACTTGCTCACCTCGGGGCACCCGCTTCTCGAACTGCTCCATTGTCGCGAGAAGGTGCGTTACTCTGTCGTTCAGCTCTGGGGAGAGAGTGCCGCCCCGCAGCGCGGTCCAGCGCGCCATGTTCTCCTCCGTGAACTGGCCCGGCATCGGTCCGGCCGTGGCTAGAATTTTGCCCTTGAAGATTGCTCTGACCATGGTTTTGGTATCTGGAACGCGCCTTCGGTATGGTGTTTGGATTCGAACATAGTCATGGATGGGGAGAGAAAGAAAGGGCAAAGAGTCGCGAGATAGCTTGGCGGAAGAGCCTCGCCGTAGCCGGATCATGCCCACGGCCGAGGCCTTCTGCCGGCACGGAGCCGATTCACGCGCCGCATGCGTGTGCTTGCAAAAATCCAAATCAGCCGTGATTTGTGTTGTGTTATGGGAATAGCTTCATGTTGGCCTGAAATAGGAGGCTCCGGTAGCTTGACTCGGAACGGATTCTCAAAGTGTTTTTTCACCCACACCCAACTCACAGGAGAGAGCGTCATGGGAAAGTGTGTCACAGGAAGGGGTGCTGAACAAGATAGTTGATCTACGGGAAATCAGGCAAGCAGAAAGACAGGAACTAGAAAAAGTGATGGAATGACTCTCTTATTCGGGAAAAGCTTTCTTAAGCGGGAATCCGGGTGTTGAGTGTGTAAAAAAGCTCTCAATTCATATGTACAGAAAAGGTGTATCAGGACGCAAGGCAACTATCGAGGTAAGTTCATCACCGGAAAGACTTTGCCGCCTTGATAAACGCGCGAATCTTGTCTAGATCCTGCTTCCCGTCAGTCTCTACTCCGCTGCTCACGTCAACACCGATAACCCGGTCGGCGAGCTCGCCAACGGCCTTGACTGCCTCTACGACATTGTCCGGGTTGAGTCCTCCGGCGAGTAGAACCCGAAGCTCGGAATCCTTCTCCAGTGTGGTCTTGACGCTAGAGACGTCAAGAAGCTTACCGGAACCGGAGCCGGAGTCGAGAAGAGGCACGGTGTGATAGCCGCGGGAACCGACGCCAGTTTGGCCAGGCTTGAAGCAGCGAACCACGGGGACGGGAACCTGCTTCGCCCACTCGATAGGCTCGTCTCCGTGGAACTGGACGACGTCGAGGTTGTACGTCCTTTGCTTCTCGAGGACCTCGGCGAGAGGTTGGTTCTGGAAAATTCCGACCACCTTGGGGCCCGAGTTTGTTAGTCGCTCAACCGAGCCGGCGAAAAAGTCTCGCGCCAGGCTATTCTGAGCAACGGGTGCGGGGGCCTTTCGCGGTACGCATGGACCGCCTCTGATATCTCAAGAGCGGCCTTGTGCGAGATGCATCGCTTCGCTTTGGGGACAAAGCAAACACCGATAAAGTCCGCGCCGGCCTCTACGGCAACTTTGGCGGCTTCTGCGGTCCTCGTTCCACAGATCTTGACGAGGAGAGAGGAGGGTTTGGGGGCGGGAGGAACATCGTCGTTCCCGGCGCAGAGCTGCTGGATAAAGACGCTCGCATCGGGTGCCCGCATGATGGCCTCGCCGACGAGAATGGCGTTGACGCCATCGTTCTTGCACATAATGACATCCTTGTGACTGTTGATGCCGCTTAGCGCGCAGAGAATGGTGGTTTCGGGCACCATGCTGCGTAGGCGGCCAGTGGTATCGAGATCGACCTCGAAACTCTCAAGGTTTCGGTTGTTGACGCCGATCGCCTTGGAGCCGAGCTTCACGGCAATTTCCATTTCCTGGGCGTTTTGTACCTCGACCAAAGGCTCCATGCCTAGGGAAAGAGAGTACTTGTAAAGGCGCTCGAGAAGGGGAGTGTCTAGCATCTTGACGATGAGGAGAACGGTATCAGCTCCCGCAAGCCGGGCCTCGAGGATTTGGTACTCGTCAAAGATGAATTCCTTTCGGAGAATGGCCGGCCTGTTTGCCACGCCGTCTAGAACTTGCCTCACAGCCCTAAGATCCTCGATGCTGCCCTTGAACCAGTCGGGCTCGGTGAGGACCGAGATTACACTTGCGCCCGCAAGCGCATACTTCCGCGCCTGGACAGCGGCGCTGATGTCGAGGGAGAAAATGCCCTTGGAAGGAGAAGCTCGCTTGATCTCAGCCATGAGCGAGAGGTCGAAGGGGATTGGCGCAGGCGCTGGACAAATGGCACGAGTGGAGGGGCAGCATTGAGGTCGTAGGCGGCCTGAAGGTCGCTAGGGCGGAGTGAAGGAACCTGCTTCTGAGCGTCGACCAGAGTCTTGCGGCGCGCGTAAATTTCTTGGAGAATATTGTTCTTCTTAGGCTTCGCGGACGCAGCAGGGGCCGCGGATGAGCCGTTTTCGGCAGCCTCCTTCTGAAGGCGAGCGTTCTCTTCCCAGGTACCGCCCTGTAGGTGAAGGAAGTTGCGGAGCATGACTCGACCATCAGCGGTCAGGATACTCTCAGGGTGGAACTGAACGCCCTCGATAGTGAGTTCCTTGTGCCTGACTCCTTGGATGACACCTTGAGTTCCGTCTGGGAGAGCGACCCAGGAGGTGACCTCAAGGCACTCGGGAAGAGTGACACGGGTGCCGGCCAGCGAGTGGTAGCGGGTGACGGGAAGGCCCTGCTTCAAGCCAGCGTAGACGCCCTTGTTGTCATGGCTCAACGGGGAGGTTTTGCCGTGAAGCCACTCTCCAGCAGAGCTCACCTCGCCGCCATAGACGTCAAAGATGCATTGCCTAGATTCGCTCTACTTAGTAGCTGAACTTGTGGCTCGTCTTCCATTACGACGACGTGTTGGCAAGGGTTTGAGATACTTACTGGCCCATGCATACGCCGAAAACGGGGATCTTGCCAGCATAATGCCTAATGGCATCGCGGCTTACTCCGGAATCGGTTTGCGGATGACCGGGTCCAGGGCTGATAATCAATTGGGTAGGGTTCTTCTTCGCAAGCTCCTCAATCGTAATCTTGTCATTTCTAATGACAGAAACGGTGGCGCCTTCGAGGATGAGGTACTGGTAGATGTTCCAGGTGAAGGAGTCGTAGTTGTCTATCAAGATGACATTGGAGGCAGTGGGAATTGGTGGGGAAGGATCGGGATGGTGGGGTGAGTGATCAATAATGTCCAGGGCCGGCATCTTGGCTTGCAAGCTCGTGAGACACCTAATTTCCAGAGGAAGCAGGCCTGAGTAGCAAAGGGAGAAAGGAAGAGTCCAAGATGAGAAGCCGGGTGAGCGAGATCTCTCTGCCAACGGACTAGGTGAAGGGGAAGATGGTTGGGTTGGTGAGTCAGGATCTGCAAGTGTGCAATCGTGGTCTCGCCGATAGTGAGGCGGTCGGAAGTTTGCCCAAGTGGAAATATTTACTTAAACGGTTGATTGAAATGTGGACTGGACCATTCCATCCACATCCACGGAAGTGGTCCCAATTCATCAGAGTGGGACAGACAACCAATTGCTCCAAAAACAGCGCCGGCGAAACCAAAAAAAAAAAAAAAGACTCGCCAGCGCCACCACTGTCCCGCGCTTTCCCTCCATCTTCGCCTCTGCTGCATTTCAAATCCACGAATTATGTCAGCTCAAGGCAAAAGCCTCTCGTCGCCTCCTGTCGCCTCAGCTTTTTCTTTCTTTCTTTTCATGGGCGAAATCTTAATCCTAAATCCCTTCTTCCTATCACTGTCTACTGGGTCATCAAGTCTCGATCTGTTCACGAGTGTGCATGGCCTTCTTAGAAGCCCCAGCTACGACTTTGTTACTTGGATGGATTGATGTTTGAAAGCCCACTTGATTTTCGTAGGGAGAATACTCACACTTACACAGCCAAGGCCAGGCTTGCCAGGCTTGTTTAATGTTCTGGGCAGCTACGCCGATTCGCTGGATTTGAATTTGAACCATTAACATCTGCAATGCAATTGGCTGTGGGCCCATGATGATCAACTTGAACAACTAGAAGCTGATACTTCACCCATCTTTGTTGGATGGAACGGACGTGAGAAAGATGAATCTCTTGTGTAAAATATAATATATACAGTCACGGAATGCTTTCTTACAATAATATCATTGATTTTATTATATTTCTATGAAAATTGAAGGGCCTCTTTCTTCTCACTGTCGACGTCAACAAAACTTGCTGTTGTCCTGGTGTTTGTTCCTCTACCACAGCTGCACGCAGCTGCAGAGCGTACAGAAAACAATCTTGAGGTTATGTAAACATGGCAGGTCCCAAAATCGAGCCGCAAGCTTCACTCCCAAATTTTCTAGCAACCATCAAGCTCTCACAACCTGCCTCACGTCACGAATTCCACATAGCCCAACCAACCCGCCATCATCAGCGCATCGCCCCCTCGTTCTTCTCCTTCCCCTAATATCCCCAACCCGTCGCCATAATGAGCAAGTAGGTCTACACCCATCCATTAGGACCATCCTGCCCTCTCCCCTTTGGTCAGGAAGTTTGGAATGCTAATCATGGACTTTTTGGTTACAGCTTCGGTCTCAATGCCTCTGAGCAGCGCGTGCTCGAGGAGCGTCTCGCCAAGCGCCAGATGCAGGACTTCATGGGCGTAAGTTCTGCCTTTCCTTCTAGATACCCCTGCCTGTCGCCCAAATCCTCTCGAACTCGACGGCGTTGCTAGCTAGCTTCGCATTGGCCTTGGGCGACCAAGCACCCTCCCTTGCTCGTAGATGCATCAAAATCACTAGATATTGACCCGCGTCGTTTTAGATGTTCCACAACATGTTCGAGGGCTGCTTCAACTCGTGCGTCGATGAATTCACCTCCAAGGCCCTCTCCTCTCGCGAGAACGGCTGCATCTCCCGCTGCGTCCAAAGACCCTCGCCATGCAGCAACGCCTAGGCGAGCGCTTCCAGGAGCACAGCCAAACCACCATGGCCAACCAGAACCAATAAATCTTTTTACAACGCTTTATAATTATGTATTGTTAAGACCACCAGATGTCTTCCGACCGCCAAGGGGGACCTCCTCGATTTATAATCACCCTCCGCCACCGATCATGCTGGCACGGGCGAGTGGGCGTACTTGGATGGAGAGATCCTGCCCGGCGAACTATCATGTGTAGCTCGTGGCGATGACAGGCGTGCTTTGCGTATTAATCGTTTGTTACAAATAGCCTCAAAAAATGCGGGAGGGATATCTTACTGTACATTATCTATTTTTTACGGAATTTCCTCTACTCGGACAGGAGAAGAGGCGGTTATAGAAGGGGGTCATGTAACGTGTAGAACTAGGATCGACGACCAACTCGGGTTATACTGAAATACAATTCTCCACTGATCACCAAGCTTCGTCGTAGCTAACCTGTGACTGCACGGGCTCGTCACCACTGCATAAATACCAGATTTACCGTGTGTCTCGTGCTGAGAAGAAAGGAAGAAGACGACTCGTGGGGAAAATTTTGGGTTCTTGATAAGCAAATCTAGCTAATTACAATCCACTCCCGACACCCTTTGCTCCCTTGCCTCTTTTACAATCATGTCAAGTCTGGCTTATTGTTTTTATAAATCCCCCTCCTACGTGTGTGGTATCCTCCATCTCATCCTAGAGATCTTGCAGGCCCCGGGAGGCAAACAACAGCCCCGAGATTATCACGTTCCCCCTTCTCACAGTTCCTAGGCATCCTCGGCCAGCACATCCCTCACCGCCTCGAGCTGCAGCACCACCTTCTCCTCGAGGACGCTCTCCCAACCCTCCGTCATACCCGCCGCGGCTGACGAAGGGGACCTCATGTTCTTCCACTCCACCTCCCTCTGGCCCAGGGGCAGCAGCCTCTCTCGTAGAAGCCGGCGGCTGCTCAGCCAAAACTCCACGTACTCGAGAAGGGACGCGCCATCCCACTGAACTTCCGGTATGTCGCGGTTGTTGTTTTTCCGAAGCGCGCCAATGACCCGGGTAAGGAGGGCCAGCGAGTGGATCTCCATGGCCGTGAGAAGCGTGACGTAGTGCATCGCTTCCTTGGATGCCGTGCGGCTAGTGCCCGGCGCTTCGAACCGCTCTACGCTGGACTTGAGCAGCGACGGGAACTGGTTGAGGACGTAGCTCACCTCGGGCGCCACCGTAGTGCCCATGGCTGTGAGGAGGTTAAGGAGCAGGGGTAGCATGGCCTTGGCCCACAGGCTGTAGCACCTCTGGGCACCGACATTATCTGCAAACGGCGAAATGACGCCACGTCTCATGAATCGAGTGAGGTTGGCCGACGTGAGCTGGCTGATGACGCCGTTGCACGCCAGCTGCTCTGCCACCATAGGTAATTTCGACAACGCGAGGAGGAATAGCAAACTGAGCTCGCCGTATACGGGGTCGCCATTGTCCGTAATCTTGTCAGACCACGAAAATAGCGAGCACGCCACCTGCATTGCCTCGTGCGTCGCCATGATGTTGAGGATCTGTGTCTGCTGTTGATGCATATCTGGCACCCCGAGGCACGCCTGGAGCACGGCTGTGACGAGGCCGAGATCCTCGGGTGATACTGCCGGGTTTTGATCGTGTATCAGGGTCACCAATGTCCGGAACCCCTGCCTACAACCTTGTCGAGTATGTCCAGGACCATTTGTATCCTCGATACGAGTGTGTCCCCCGAGATTTCGACAGGGCCATCGCTCCCAGCCGAGCCCTCCTGTCCCGTGTGGGATTTCAAGATGATGTAGAGTGCCTTGAGGAGCGTGCGGTAGAGAGGGGCAGATTCCTTTTCAAAGGGCTCCTCGATCGAGGCAATGGCTCCGTAGAGCGCTTGGAGCAGCTGGTTGACGTCTCCCGAGGCAATTTTGACGCCAATCAAGCCTTGCATCAGCATCAAGGCAAAATTTGACCGTGATTCGATGATTCTAACAAAGATGTTCTCCGGTCCTTGACCTTCGCGGTTAGCTTCCAAGCATTGGAGAGCCACCTGTTGCATATATCGAGCGACGATTTCGTTGCCAGGAAGGCTACTGTTTAGCTCAAGGAGGAGGAACTCCCAAGCATGATATAATGACTGCGAGTGAGTTAGCACGGCTTGATCTGCAAGCAGGAACAAAAAAAGGGGTAAGAAAAAGGGGAACAAGTCAACGTACTATTTGAGAATCCACGAGCGAGAGATTGAGGTTTGCTCGTTCCATTTCCGTCTTGAATCCATTGCCCCTGGGCCCGCGCCAACCAGGATCAAATCGAAGCATTTCATCAGCCCTCGTTAGATCGTAATAATAGTTGTTACCTAGGTCCCTAGGCTCGAGCATCGTGCGCTTGAACTTCTCGACCGAGCACGTTGGGTACTTGGTCGCGAAATTCTTACGGAAGTTGGAATGCAAAGAGCCGTTGTAGCCAGCGATCAGGGCGCCGTCCCGAAGATAGTAATCAAGGTCCTTGAGCAGATTCTCTGCAGCAGACTTTGCTCCGCCCATGTGACGGAGGTGGTAGAGTTGCATAGCGAATGCCTCTGCAATGTATGCGGCTTCCTTCGCGTCGTATGCCGCGGCCAGGGGGTCGGTCTTGCCTGTGGTGACCGAGGACGACATGCCACGGATGCGATTCCGCAAGCCGTCGAGACTGGCAGGATCCCTAAGAATGGTGAATACCGTCCAGGGCCAATAGTTTTGGGCAGAGGTGATGAAATCCAAGATGCCCAATGCCTCTGGTCGCGACACAGAGCTTAGGCTCTTGATCTTCTCGAGGGCGGTAGAGAAGACGGATTCCGACGCAAAGTCCTTGGCTTTGGAAGCTTCAGAAACCTCTCGGGGCGTCTTGCCCGAGATTAGGCAGTTCGACATCCACTGCTGCCTGTTGCGAATGATGGATGAGAAGAATTTCCAGATCGTGGTCACTTCGGAAGGTGTCGAGAAAGGCCGGCCGATCTTAGCAAGCACGTCGAGGAACGACTTCGCAACCTGGGGACCCAGATATCCGAGTAGCGAGGGCGGCTCATCCGTTCCCCTGCCTGCGCTCTCTACTAGGGCAATGAACAGGAGGAGGGTAGGACGCTGAAAGTACTCGTTTACCGCGCTGACTCGAGAGAGGAGACCGGAACTCTTGAACAGATGCGTCTCAAAAGTGCCGACCGGGCGGTTATAGGTGTTAGCGACCCTGAGAAGGATCGTGCTGAATTCAAGGACAGCCGAAACCTGCCCTTGCAAGACAACGTTTCTCGAATGGAAGAGCGTCGATGCGCGATGCTGGAAGCCCATGTAAAGAGTGGACTGAAGAGGCCGGAAGCGTAACGAGCCTGCCGAAGGGGAAAGGAAACTGTCAATGATGTACTCGGCACCTGCCTCGAGGCACTCTGTAGGCCGTGAAGAGCTTTCGATATCGTCAAGGCCATACGCGTAAAGAACGAGATTCTTCATCAGCGGCACGACGTCCTTCAGCAGGATAGTGTATGAGACGTCGGATCTTAGTTTCCACGTGGACCAGTTCTCAAAAACATCTACGGCGGCCACAGCAATAGACTGGCCGAGCCTGCTTAAGGTCTTTTCAGATGTGCCGAGCCAGCTGTCAGTGTCAATACGCAGGCGGCCCTTTAGCTTGTTACCGCACTTCCTTTGCACGCTGCTGCTCATCATGGCATCGACAACGGCTGAGAGGAGGCGGACGGTTGAGACAAGAAAGTCAAACTGGCTGTCGGCCATATCGAGGCTCCCCGTCAATCGGGCTAATCTGCCAGCCCGGGAGTCCGAGCTAAGCAGGTCGCAGCGAGCCATGTACGAAAGAATCCGGCTAGTATAAACGGGTAAAACGGCGTGGAGGAACTGAACGCAAGCGGTCAGAACCGCCAAATCTTGGTCGTCGCCCATGGCACCGTCGTCCTGCATGGCTGAGTCGAGGATATCGCAGACAATAGAAATCACATCCTTGCTATTGTCGATACTCTTGCTAGCCTCCTCGATGATCTCGATGGCAGATTCATGCTGGTTGGTAGCGCCGGAGAGCGTCGACTTGAGCGATTCTGCGCGGATGAGAACCGCGAGAAGGGCAATGGCTTCCGCCACCTCGGTAGGGGCCGTGCCACTCAAAACTAGGCGGTAGTCGGTCTGGGATAAGGAAAGTTGAAGACAGCTTCCTAGGAGTGCGAGGGGCGAGTACTCAAAGTCCATCTGCACAACACGGCCCGAATCCGTGACGAATCGGCCGTAGGACCCGGCAGGGATACAGAAGTCGTCCACAGCCACATGGCGCCTCGTTCGTGGGCGGGGGATGAACAAAGGCAAGGGCTCTAAAATGCGAAAAGAGTTTGTGTTTTCGTCCTCGAAGGCGAGCTCGTAGGCTTGAAACTCGTCCGGAAGGTTGAAAGTAAGGGTTGAGGTCCGGCGGAGAATGCTAAGAACCTCATCTGCCGCCTCACCGCCGGAAATGGTCGTACATTTGGCGAGTGCAGCACAGATATGGAGGAAAGGGGAATACTCAAACGGAAACCGGTTGAGGGATGTGTAGAGGTAGTTATCGAGGAATAATTCGTTATGTAATGCGGCTGCGAGGACATCAGTCTGCGCGGTAACCGCTTGATGCAGTGACATGTCCCAGTAGGATGCGCCACCAGAGAGGTTATTGACAAGAGCAACGACCGGGTCAGCCTGGTAAGGGACGATGGGCTGGGTCCAGTTGAAGAACTCTAGGAAAACGGATCGAATCCGCGAGCTTTGCAAGGACGGGAACGACCTCTCACTAGATGCAGCCATCTGATCAATCACGGTGAAAGCAGCCCCGTTTGACGTCGTCTGGTTCGCGAGGACCTCGATGGCCTGGCTTTCCTTGTCAAGGCCAGTAGAGCGTAGGAAAACGTCACGTGGAAGCTCGTCAATTGAGATGATGCTTCCGACTGATGATCGCCGCGTAGTTCCCGGGCGGATAGGATTGTCTTGGATAAGCTCCGCGGACTTTTGCTGGAGCAGAACATCGCGTCTCTCAGACCTATCGGTTAAGGACAGATGGAGCTGGAATAGTATAATGCTCCATACAAAGATGGTGGGGTACGCTGCTGCAGAATCGAGGCTGGAGGCGGCTTCAATGGTGCCATGGATCTCTTCCATAACTTGGGGAATGAGAGGTAGAGCATGTCCTCATTTGGAGTCTCGCCGTCCGGATTTACATGTCGCAGTGCCTTGGTAGGGCTGAGGAGGACAAGTGACACTGCGCATGTCACGGTTTGGAGGGCAGACTGCAGTTCTTGCGCAACGGGATCTTGGGTCTAGGATATAGATTAGACCAGCTAGAAAACTAGGGACGATGGTAAAGTGATAGCGGCGGGGGGTGGCCACTCACTGAGAGTTGTTCAAAAAAGCAGTGGAGTTTCATCATCGAAAACCATCTGCTCACGATCTTGGGGTTCACCAAGGCACTACCCATATAATCTAAAGCCTGGAAAACTACTAGAATCGTGTGAACTGCTTGGTCCACGCCCGTGCGTAGCCAGTCGATAGCTAGGTCATCCTGGTTCACGAGAGGATCGTCGGTCGTGGCCTCCAAGCCGGCATCAAGTAGATTGGTAAGCTCTCCCAGAAGATCGAGGTAGACGGCGACTGTCCTCTCTACAAATGCTCGCCTTCCATTTGTATCATCTTCACGCGACATCGGTCGTGGAAGGCCATATAACTCGCGAAGGTTGAGGAGTGGTGTCTCGGTCGCGATGGGAAGCCTCTCGAAGAATGTGATAGAGTGGACATAGCTCGCCACCATGGAAAAGAAACGCCTCTCGTATAGGTATATTACGTAGATTCGCGCCTTTCTGGACTCCTCTTTCTGGAACTCTTCCCAAAGGGCGTCTGCGTCAACGGAGCCAGGGGTCGCCAAAGTCGCTACGATGTTCGTGGACTGAACCTCGTTACCGCCAGCTGCGTCCTGCAGGTTGAGAGAGTCTTGGAGGGAAAGCGGGCCCGCCAGATGAAATTCGGCGCGGGATTGTAGTTCGATTGCGACGATTCGGAGGGCGGCAAGAAGGTTGATCCTCGCATTCTTGCTTAACCACTGCGCATCCGCCTTGACCGACTTGGTGTCGTACTTTCCATTGGCCTTTGGTGTGATATGAATGGCCGACGTTCTCGTTTCGAACTCGGCGGCTGTAGCATCATCCTGCGCGGCAAATGTCTTGGTGGGATTTTTAACAAGGTCTTGGACGTAAGGGTCTTTGAGGAAATCGGCGACGGCCTGTGTCGTCTGGCGCGTGCCAGTTGGGTCGGAGAGAGCGGTTGCAACTGCTTTCCACGATCTATGCTTGAGAGTCAGCAAGTCGTTTGTTATAAATGGGACAGAGGACGATCATGCACGGAGCGCGGATCTAGGACGTACAGAATGTCTCGATCTCCCTTCAAGCACTCCTCCAAGGAAGGGAAGTAGACGCGATCCAAAGCTTGCGCCATCGCCACAAAGCTCACCAAAGAGCACTCAGGGACCAGCGAGGTTCATTTGCTACCCTCAGCGACGGGAGAGGCGTGTTTTCTTCCCTGGTGCTGACGAACCGTGTCGTGTCGTGGGAGTCGTAAAAGAAATTTATCACGGCTGGAGCTCTCCTCCTAGCAACGCAGTCGTCGAGGACCAAAGCTTCCTCTATTTTTGTATTTTGGGTGGATGGGCGATTCTACCAGCTGGTTCCAAGCGTTGCTAGGTGTTGCTATTCTTGATCCCCGGCCATGTGGTATTACATAATACGACATCCAGCAAAGCCGTTTCCCTTGACTTGATCCTCCCCTCCCTCCACTCCCCATTCAATTTATTGCACCAAAATCTGACACATTATAGGCGCGATCGGTGAAGTTGGCACTTGAATATTGCGTGTGAGAACTTGATGAGGGTGCGCTGTTTCCCAACCATTGCTAGGCTCTTGGGGAAATGCCGCTCTAATCCCGCGACAGCCTCAACCTGTCGCTAGGTCTTCCGGAGTTTCTACTCAACTATAGGACTATGTAGACGAGAGAATTGCCGACCTGGTAGCAGCGGACATAAGCTCCCTGAATCTGGTGGGGACCTGAAATACTGGATCCCTCGATCTGGGTTCTGCTTGCTTGGAGCTGGACATGCCTCGGAGAGTAAGAACGGTACTCTTGAGAACGGTACAAATGCCCAACGGGGGCAACAGACATCGTGGGAAGTCATTGGCCGATGATGGACTGTTTACGACGTCACGCTGAGCTCCCCCTCGTTTCGGGCACATGGGTCGTCCTGAGTTGAATAGTATCTAAGACGCCGAAGGCCCAGAACAATGGACGTCATGGCGTAGGCTGCGAGAATTGGAGGTCCAGGTAGGCCCAGGTAAGCTGATAGAAAATTCAAATCAAATCTCGCCGCCCCATGGACAACCGAGTGGTTCTTAATTTGGGGCTGGCCTGGGTCAGGTTCACCTGGCGTCACGAACCATCAAACCCGGTTTCTTTCCCTGGGATTGCTCCCAAGTTCCCAGAAGATGAGCAGTGCACGGCGGCAGAAGGCTGCATTCATCCAGCAATGTTACATAGATCGATACCACCTCTACGCTCGCGCTGCTCACTCCATGAGTCCAGGAGACTATCAAGGAAACAAGACTTGAGCGACAGCTCGTATCTGTGCCGGATTTGACGAGAGGCTTGCATGCTGCAGAGTCTAAAGAGGCCTGACGTAACCTGGCAAGCCATCAAATAAAGTGACGAAATTTTACGCTGCTCTCTTCTATTCAGCCCTGGCGAAGAGGCACCAGCTAGACAAACTATCCCGCGCGCAAGCTACTAATAATTTTCCTTCACGGCCAGTCCGATCTAAGCGAGAGAATGCTGGACTAGGCGCCATCTTCGACAGGGCAATTATCCATACCCATGCCTCTGCACATGCATCGAGCACCATGAACATCTGCTGGTAGCCTGCAAGATCTTCATCATTCACGCAGTCTATCCGGATCAATTGATCGCTTCCGAGCCGATCGCTGGCTATTTGGGCGAATGGGTGTGTGTGGATAATCACTTCATCCACGGACGGGTCGACCTGATGCATAACAGGAGCCCTGCCTGTCTCTTGAGGTGCTCGGAGCTAAGAGTCGATGGACCTCGAGGTGACGAGAAGATCCGACTCTTTCACGAGTCTCTGGTACACTGGACTGTACTAGAACAATGGTGAACCCCATTAACGCCCAAAAGCAGGATTAATTCAGCAGCTGGCCGGTGTTCAGTCCTGGCTTGCCGCCGTCAAGACCGCTGTCGTGAGATAACGGTTACATTGAAACCTGAGGATATGAGTACTGCGACTGTTCGCGCCGGAGACTACCGAGGTAGTTTTCTTCCATGCTCTGTTATTTTCTTTTCCCTTGCTCTGAAGAACATGCCAGGAGGCGTTGAATGATGAGATTGTTGCATATGCGCACTTCATCCCTTTGTATATACCGACGATGGGCGCTAAGCTCCTCGTTCGTCGTGGACAAAACCAAGCGCTAACGGCCATTTGCCTCTGGCTCCTCAGGGATAAGCTTCGCTGATAAAACTGGTCCGACTTCCATGGAAAACTTGTAGATGCTCGCCCGATTTCTAGAGGTGGGGCAGGCTCATGGACTCGTCCGTTGTTTTAGCTCCGCACTACTTGACTCCTCTTCGTCCAACCGCAGGGCCGCTTCGCTGTGCCTGCCGCTCAGAAAAACGGTCGAGCAGTGGAGGAGTGGAGGCATTGTAAGGGGAGGGGAAGAAGGAAGCGGGACAATGGGTTGGTTGTCCTTGTTGAGCTTTCTTGCTTCACACTCCAGATGAAACGAGTGCTCTTTGAGAGCTTGGTGGGGTGCTTGCCATCCCCTCAGCCTGGCTATGCACGTCTGGTGCATACCAACTCCACATTCAGGCACAAAGTGATAGGGAAAGGCAGTATTCTTCATTGATGGAGGCAAGAAGAGTGAGGTGAGAGGTTGACCTGCAGAGGGTGGAGGAAGGAAGGCATAAGGCTAGCAAAAGGAGCTACATAGATCCAGAGATGTACAAGTATCCTTACTCAACTCCTCAAGCATCTGGGTCGGCGTGTGAATCAGGCCTAGCTTGGACTGGACCTGTGTTCCATTCTGGGATCAGTCTCAGGTACGACGCAACGCGGTCAGATCCATTGATCAAACATTCGCGAATGCTCAGGATTTGTGATAACAAGAGCGAGGGCTGCTTCATCATAGAGGGTTCCCCGTCTTGTCCCTCGCCCATCGCGGCGTCGTTCGCGGCCTGAGCTGAATCCTAATGCTGGTCACAGCACAACCCTGATTCAAGGCTTCGCTAAGCATTGTTGAAGAACCTCTCGGCGGTGTGTTGAGAGTAAGACTTGTCGGGGCGGACTGATGCAAACATGAATGGATTGAATCAATCAATCTGGTGGATCTATTACCTACCATGTCCATCCCTAGGTGTCTCAGCGGGCGCATGGAGGTGGTTTCTCACCTACACCTACAATTGATCCATAAATATGTACACCGATTGATACTCCTTGTGCCTGTCTGGAATGCTGAGCGCCTTTGTACCAGTGAGCAATCTGGGCCATGTCGCGATCTCTGCCCTGCACAAACGACAAGCATCATGGAGAGCCCAGAAGCCAGTTGCCCCTAAAACATAAATCTCGCGCGAAGCTCCGTTCCCTTATGTAGTTCATCTTGCCTCCAAGGTGCGACAGCAAGACAACAATAAAAACAACGAGGAAAATAATGGGACAATAATATGGATATGCAATAACGAAGGCCAAGACCGGAATATCGGCGGCGAGGACCATTTCAACTTCCATCAAAGATTGCACATCCCGTCACACTGAGACGATAATTCTACCCACGATGTATGTTGCCATTTCGCGCTGTCTCTCGAGATGACTCTGGGTTTTTTTTAGAAGAGAATCTGTAAAGTAAAGTAGTGGTGGTGTACATATTGAAGGCAGTTCCGACCGGATAGCTCGAGCGAGGAGGTACTGCACGGGTATCAATTGATCGGTAGCAGCCAGGCTGGATTGTAATACACTCCACCACCCAAAACACTGCAGCGGGAGGAATACAATTGACGCACTTGCAGCCGCGCATTTCGTTCCTGTCAAGGAACCTCGACATAATACTTCAATATTGAATACTGGCCTGGCCTGGCCTAGTCTGGCTGACTGGCTGGACTGGCTCGTTGGGCTGGCTCTGGCCTGCCGTGCATGCTGTGCTCTTTTGTCTGTCCCTCGACCAGTTTTAAGCAGGCCCCAAATTAACCCCATCAATCCAATCCCGGCTGGCAAAGAAGATCAAAACTCCCAGTCCCGCCAACAATTTATAAACGTTTACCGAGCCCCCTTTCTCCAGCAACCGCCTGATGTCCAATCAACTATTGTGTCCAACCTCCCAGCGCATAGCCATTCGCTGAACGAAACATCGACGGTGTCGAGCCGACCCTACCCTCAATCTCGACGAGAGGACAATTTCCAGCAAGGCACCGACCGAAAGCCAGCAAAGAGGCCACACAAACGACGGGAAATCTACATCCAGGAAGGCACAAAGGGCGGCCCCAAAAATAAGGAAACGACGAAGCAGAAAAAGGAAAAAAGATTTGCCAATTTCCTTGTCTTGATTTTTGCCTTGTCAACACTGCTCTTTCATCGATCCCAGTCTTTTTGGCTCAACCAGACACCCATTACAGAGCATCTCGCCCCCATCGTGGCCCTCTTTTTCGACCAAGTTACCCCATGCCGATCACCCTTCACACCAACTCCCTAACCCTGCGACCGTTAATACCCCTCGTGACTGCCACCTTCCTCCCCAGTTCATCTCGCGATTTTCCTACTGTCAACATCGAAACCGACGACAACACGGAGTCATTCACGCCATCCGAATACCTTGGCCGACCCATTCCGCCGACAAGGCTGTTTATCCACTCTTTCTCCTCCGAGGTCCTTGACCTTGTCCTCTAAACCATGCATATGCCTTCTGGGGCTACGATTCGGTCGGGCCCTCAGCAACCACCGCAGCCTCCTGCTCCCGAAAACGCTGCGTCACCTCCGAACAAGCGGGACTTGAAGTCATGGTGGAAGGGTTTCAAGCTGCCTACAAGTAGGAACCAAGAGCCAAATGGTACAGACACTCCCACCCAATTCCTAGTTTGCTTGTCTTCTTAGCTCTTGCCTTGTTTTCCTTCTATTTCTTTTTTTCCCCTCTGTTGTCGGTTCCGTGGGCGCGTCGCAGCTTGGGTCGTGGTGGCTCTCCGCGCTTCAACCCCAAGCTCCTGCATACCCTGGCCGCCTGTTGACGATGCTCCTGCCCTGACCTTGATTTGCCCTCCGCATTCCCGTCATCTGTCCTTATTGTCGCGATATCTCAAGCCTTCCCAACGGAGCGGACTGAAGTTTCGATTGCTCGTCCTCGTCCTCGCCTCCGTCCCCTCCCTTGCCTCCAAGGCGAGGCCCGTTCGCCCTACCCAAACGCCTTAACGCGCTTTGAATTACCAAGCTAAATTCGTGTACAGCTCCAGAAGCGAGGCCCCAGGGCATTTTCGGCGTTCCCCTCCGTCAGAGCATCACCTATGCGAACGTCGCCATCTCGCTCATTGACGAGAATGGAAGCAGCTACATTTATGGATACGTGCCAATTGTTGTGGCCAAATGTGGTGTCTTCCTCAAAGAAAAAGGTGCGTATCTTTCGGTATCCACGGTCGCTCGTTGACAATGCTACATCCCGTTCTCCCATGTTGCGTCGATAATTTCTGAAGCTAACCGCTGAAATTTTAACGTGTTCCCCACGGTCGCAGCCACCGAGGTCGAAGGTATCTTCCGTCTGAACGGATCGGAAAAACGAATCAAGGAACTGAAGACGCAATTCGACTCGCCCGATCGATATGGCAAGGGCCTGATATGGGACGGATACACGGTTCACGATGCTTCCAACGTGTTTCGGCGATATTTAAACGACCTCCCCGAGCCCGTCGTTCCCTTAGATCTCTATGAAAAATTCCGCGAACCTTTACGGGGTGCGACGAAACAGGCGAGCGGTGATGCCGAGGGGCCGCAATTCGTCGAGGACTTTGACGAACAGGGCGCCATCGCCAGGTACCAGCGGCTCATTACAGAACTACCGCCCCTCAACCGACAGCTATTGCTCTACATTCTCGACTTGCTTGCTGTCTTCGCGGCCAAATCGGAACAAAATCGCATGAACTCGCAAAATCTCGCTGCCATTTTCCAGCCTGGAATGCTGTCACACCCCGACCATGCCATGGCCCCAGAGGAGTATCGACTAAATCAGTGTGTGTTGATTTTCTTGATTGAGAATCAGGACCACTTCCTCATCGGAATGCAAGGCACGGCCGCCGATGAAAAGACGGTGCAGGAGGTTCAGCAAGGCACGCCAGCCCCCGCCGACACAAACTCTGCCTCTCCGTCGACGCCAACACTTGGTGGCCAGCACTCAAACCTGGGTAGGTCCGCATCAAATGCAAGCGCGGGCGCTGAGAGCGTCCGGCGGGACGGCAAGATACGGCGCAATCGCTCAACGTCTTCTAGACACTCTCGAAATGAAGGCAGCGCCACCCCGTAAGCCCCATTATTGTCACCACACCCACCGGCGGCCTAGCGAGGAGCAACACCGTCCCCTCTAAAAATCACCCGCCCTCGTTTCTGGACGGTTCAATAAGCAATCGTCCCCGATGGCCATGAGGCAGCCCAGCTTCACCACTGCGGCGGAAGAACTAGTCAATGACTCGCCGTCGCCCTCTCCCTGGCGCCTCCGAGTGTAGGTGTCGCGTCTCTTTCGCCCGCCTCCGCCGCTACTGCCGGTAGGAGCCAGGAGAAGCTTTTGGAGCCCCCTCTGAGGTTCTAGCGACCCCACGAAAGAGCGAAATCTCCAGAACCTCTTCCAAAGGTCCCCGACCAGCGAAGGCGAAAAGCGCCAGCGCAACAAGCTTAAAAGAGAGTTCCCACTGGTGGAACCCTGAACCCCAGCGCTCAAAGCTCCACGGCGTCCCTTTCACACTCCGCCGCCGTGTCTCCGGGCCGAGAGTCCAGCAACCCCTTTGACAATCCCCATTCTGATCCCGTGGTTGTGCCCACTCCCTCAGTGATGTCCAGCAGTTATCATCTCCCGGTGATGACTCCTCGAGCCCACGCCTCGAGGGTCTCAAATGCCCGTTTCGCCTCCCACTCTTCAACCTGAAGCGACATTAAAACCTAAGAAATCACCATCCACGTCTCTACATTCTTCATTCAACGAGGGCTCAGAGCTCGGTCAAATCGACGAGCCCATACACCAACTATCGAGCACGGAGGCTCCCGAAAAGGAAAAGGAAAAGAAAAAGCGATGGAGATTGTCTCGATCGACAAAGAGAGACGATGGTGCTGCGCCACACCAGGCTCCGCTGCCCTCTCCTCGTCCCGTTCTAGGCACGAACGTGCTAGCAGAGGACAGTTCCCTATCGCTTGCTAGCGGTAGCGGTAAACCCCGGAAGAGCTTCACCAATGATAGCTCGGATCCCGCAACCTCCCTTGTCGAAACGCAATTGACGCAAGAGTCTGGAAGCAGCCAGAAAGAGAGATCGGAATCTGGCAAAGAGGAGACGACGAAGAATCCGATCGGATGGATAAGGAACAAATACCGTGAAGCCAAGGAAACGCACGAACAACGCCGGAACAAGTCTCCGCCCGCAGACAATAAGCAGGCTTCATCAAGCACAAGCCGGCTATCCCTTCGTGGCAAGAGCTTTGATCTCAGGCGTGAAGACGAAAGACAAGGCAGTCAACCGCAGCCGAGCCTCCCGCCTCCGGTTGTGGCTGTCGTGGAACCACCGCCAACACAACCTGCCCAGCCTCCGGCGCAAGTTGGTGCGGTTGTTCAGCCAGACGTTGCTGCCTTTCCCGACCAACAAGCACAGCCGGAGATGCAAGCTCGCCCGCAGGCCGAGCCTGAAGCAGCCCATAAAACACCACTGGTGGCCGAGCCTACGCAAGCGGATGCCCCTTCTACGCGCCCGGAATGATGCTGTGTGCATTCCGTTTGATACCCATGAGCTTGTTCCTTTTATTCATTTGCTTAATTCCATGGCCAGGCGCTGGCGGTTGCCTTCTTTTCCTTTTCCTTTTCTTTTTGTTTTCTTTTTTTTTCATCTTGCTGTTGTGGAATTTCAAGTCACGTCATACCGAGGAGATGGGATACAGCAGCTGAGAGTTGCATCTACTTTCTTCGTACTCATACCTTTATATCCTCGTATCACCAATTTTTGCTGTTGGCGCCTGTCTTTAGTTGGGCAATGCTGTTCTAGGTTTATCAAACTGGCGAGAAGGCTCCTTTACGCTCTTGTTGCAATTTCCTACATTTTTCACCCTCACCACGTTTCCCCATCTCCTGCAGTGATGTATCTTCGAACAGCTGGGCGAGGGAAAGCAAAGTACATGAATGTCTATTCAATGTTTCTCTTACATGATATTTTGTCAGAGCCCGTTTCTTGACCCCAAAATTTGACAGCCTTCCCTCCTCGTCCGTGTGGCACAAGTTTTGTATACATAATACATCCTTCGCGTACTCTCGCCACCTGGCCCCCTACTAAGGTTCGTGCATTCATCTTTGCACTTTCGTACCCCAGGTGCAAATTCCATCAACTCTCTTGTGCTAGTTTGGGGGTTTTGTTCTTTGTCATCCTTTTTCCATGTCTGTTTGTTATGTTGGGATACCCTGTGGCTCGCCCAACCACGATTTGAAGGGGTTTTCTTTTTTTCTTTATGGAGATGAAGACCTTAGCGCTGCTCTCCTCCCGTTTGAAGTTGGTTAGAATTGGAAGGTGGCGGGCGGCGTGGCTCATATGCGCAGCCGCTACTACCATGCTGGAATTTAAAAGGATGACGAGAAAGTTTGTACATTAGGTCGCAGGCCCCGTTCCCCAATTTCCCGGGGGCATCTAAGAGAAACAACAACAAGAGATCTAGTTTCCACCCTTCCTTCTAACTGGCCCGTTTATAGACAGCTCAATGTGCTATTCATGCCTAACGGGTGATGCCCATCTGATTTGGCTGCGAGGTTCTTCATGACTCAGTCTCCCAAACGACCAACTTGCCCGCTCTCCTCCAGTCGTCTGTGAAGAGGCCGTTCCAGCCCTCCCAAACGCGTTTGAGACTCCGGATGCCATGTTCCGAGCCAGGCCCGTCAAAGTATTCTACCAGTACGGGCTCGATGCCCTCGAAACCGACGATATAGGGAGGCACCCTCTCGCGCAGGCCTGACGACGGAGGGTCTACGGGCCACAGTTCTCGGTTGAGAAAGCCGATGGGATCGTCGTAGAAGCGGTCGGCCTCATCTCTATACATCTCTCTCTCGTAAGAATGGGGATCGGTATGAAGCGGGGGTCGCAGGTGAGGGCGCGAACAGAGAGCCCCGGGTAGATCAAGTGGGACCGCCAGGGAGTAGAGTGGCAAGGGGTGAGGAATACGGCGAAGCGGGCCTCGCTGTTGGCAATGTCGGGGGTGGGGCGGTCGGCGGAGACGGCGTACTGATCGCGGAGGAAGGCGGTTACGGAAATGACGGCGCGCTGGTGAGCGATGCCGAGATAGGCGGCGACGATGAGGTTGATGAGGAGGCCGGGGATGAGGTACCGCTTATTGCGGAACTGGTGGGGGCGAGCATGGTGGTGAGGGGAGTAGAGGAAGAATTGGGAGACCATGCGGGCGGAGAGGACGTGGAGCAAGGGGAGGAGCGGGTAGATGAAGCGGGCCTCCTTGTGAGCGATTTGGGAGAGGACGGTGATGGTGACGTAGACGGCCCACTTGAGGACGGTGAAGCCCTTGGAGGCCTGGGGATTGGGGTGGGAGCGCCAAAGGGAGAGGAGGACAAAGGGGAGGAGGCTGATGCAGAGCAAGGGTAGGCCCTGGGAGAGGTAGTAGTGGCCGACGTTTTCCCCGTAGAAGACTGCGAGATCCTGGGAAAGGTTGAAATAGAGCCACTTGTAGGGGGAAGGTCCAGAAGCCGAAGAAGAGGCGGTCGGCGGCGACGGAGATTCCTAACGTGAGTGCACCGCAGTAGAGGATCTCGGTAAGAAAGGCGACGGTCTCCTTGAGAGTGGGGTTGAGGAGGGTGCTGGAAAGGCTCTTGGGCATAAGAGTGAGGAGGCAGATTGGGGCCCAGATGAGGAGATTTGTGGGACGGAGGAGGACCGCGGTCGCGGCGAGGATAAGGGAGAGGCGTAGTCTACAGAAAGGGGGTGGTTAGCGGAACGGTGGAGGTACGAATGGGATATACAGGGAGCTTTGGGGGCAGCTCACCTTTTCGCGCCCTGTGGACTACGGGTGATGGAGCCAAAGGTACGAAGTTTGTCCTTCAAGGGGGTTGGAATACCTCCCATGGCCAGCCGTTGAGAGCGGCGACGGTGAGGGTGGTCTCTAAAGAGTTGGAAAAGGTTCTCACGGAGACGTAGAACTGCCACGGGTTAAGCGCGGTCATCCAGAGCTATCGTAGAAGAGAGGCAGTGTTAGTCATGCGGGAATCGTTGCAGCGCAAAGCAAGCTCGAGCACGAGCAAGGAACCTGGTTCCTCAGCGGGCGGTACTCACCACTGTAGCGGAAGCTATCGTGTCATCCTTGTATAGTTTCTGGGCCAGCTTCCAGCTATAAAAGTCGCCGAGGGCGGCGATGACGGCCTGCATCACCTTGGGCAGCACGAGCAGCAGGGTGGCTCGCAGCCCAGGCACCACATAGTGGCCGAGAAGGTCTGCAAACTTATATACTGCGGCGAATAGCAGAGGGTGTAACGAGGACCTCAGTTGGTGGTCCCATTCCTAAGTTTCGTTTCCCGTCAGTCCCTAAAGATCACTTTTTGGTCGTATCTTTTTTTCTTTTCCCTTGCCTCTTTTTGCTTCCCTCTAGTGCTGAGGTGCACACCAACTAGTGAGGGGCAGGGGAGGGATGAGTGAACGAACCCAGGTGATGTACGCGCCGCTGCCCTCGCCGAAGGCAGCTCGCCAGGCGGGTTCGAGACATTGGAAATACTCGTCGGGCTGGAAAAAGGTCTGGACGAGGGCGGAATTCACAAGCCTGAGAAGGAGAAGTGCCCCTAGGACATTTTTCGCCTTGTAGGCCCCAGGCTGGGAAATCTTTTGTGAAGAAGCCATCGCTAGTCAAGGCTTGAAAGAAGGGATTGCTGCTCCTCTAGCTTTTCTGGCGGGTTCTTTGTCACCGTAATCAGCGGTGCTTGTGAACCTCTCCGGGACGTCCTTTTATCACCTTTCCAGGATTTTGCACATGCTTCGCCGGATCTAAATACCTCGCATCAGGACACGAGTGTAGTGTGGAAGCTTTAGGCACACTCACCTCGATGTCGTCGAGAGGCGTGGCGCGGCGCGAGCGCGCGCCAGAATTTTTGGGGTCCATCCAATTTTGGCGGACATCTACGCGACACAGTGCGTGCTTCGGGATTTCATTTCCAAAAAGGGGCAGCATGGAAGCCTGCAAGGTGAGCCGGATTTTTAGTGTACTGTTAGGGATATAAGAATAATAGATGAGATGCTGCCTGGCTCGAAAAGTGGCCGGCTTATTATTCCTGAATTGCAAGGAGATGCGCAGTGCACTCAAGGGCTCTGGCCTTCCTCGATGCTCGAGTCAAGAAGCTCGAGGAAAGGCGTGGCCCGCTCTCATAAAAATCAAGACACGGTCTCCCGTCAAGGGAAGAACCTTGAGGATTACGAGGTTGGCGAGATCATGTTTGCAGCCTTCTTTCCCACCCTCTCTTCATGAGGACCAAGATAGACAAAGGAGAATCATCTTCTTTTCTTTCGTTTTTTTTCTTGGGTGCAGAGTCCGTTGAGTCGCTTCGCATAGGGCATGTGGGTCACCTCGCAAGGCAGATGAAGCTGCTAAGAAACAAGATTCTCACCGATCCGAGGTGCTCTGCATATTCAACATGTGGGGGTGTGGGATGACAGCATGGTGAACGAGCAGCCCATCAAATTTTATACCAGGTTTATCTGCACGCAGAGCTCAACGATAGATTTAAGAAGAAGCAGGTACGGGATCCAATCGGCGAGGTACTCCGCCTTACTCGGTGTAAGTATCACTAGTGATAATTATTAGCCGACGTCTCTTATTCTGAGCGCCGCCGGAGCAGGCCAGTGCATAGGCACCCGGCCAAGCCCGAGGACGGGCCACCGTCCGCGGCTCCCTAGAGTTGACGTACAATTCGGCTGTGATCTGATAGAAAGGCTCTGACATCACAACCTCAGGATCCTTGATGAGAAGGAGGCGACTGGGACAAAAGGCGAACCTCTCGTGACCTCGCCTGGGCACTGTACGACTCCATGCTGACTGGTTGAGGTCGGCGAGCCAAGCTTCTCGAGGAGTGGAGGGTAATAGGCTGGTTTTCATTGGCTGAGTGGGCGGGATGCATCGCATTGTGCATCGCCGGGGGCAGGGGACGGTGCTCAGCTGAGGACACGGCCGGATTCATCACGCCGTTGTCGGAAGCCCAAACATGCTAGTGAGCGGACGGCGGACCCCAGCGAACGATAATCGAGGGGGATTTCAGACTGCTTGGTCCTTTTCTTAGCCCATATTGCCGGCAGCCCTCTCGCCGTCGAGCGAAGACCGGGGTGGGGCTCAGGTCTCTGCTTTTGATCATTCCGCTTGATGACGGCCGTGGATCTAGACTATCGATCATCAATCCACACGTGGGAAAGCGAAATGAAACTCTTCACGATGCCAGAATCGCCAACTAGGGCCCATGGTTGAACCAACAAGTTGGTCCAATTCGAGAGTCCAGTGGCCGGTTTGCTTCGGCAGAAGCCTTGGTGAGTGGGGAGGGGGACTTAACCCCAAAACGAACGACTCCAACAAAGAAACAACCCCAAACCTCCAAAATTCCCACCCTCGGACGCAAAGACAATCACCAGAGGTACCCAAAGGCGGTGGGCGAGATGGCTTGGGTCGATCCAATGGCAAGCATTCGCATCAATGTTCCATGGGGAATCCATTGATTCCCTTGATTCAGTCGATCTCCACTCATGTGGGTCCCATGCTAAATAGTGCTCTCGGCCTCTCAAGACACGAGGATTTGAGGGTTTGAGGGGCAAGGAACTTGGAAAAGAGGTCAAATGGCTGGCTCGTCGCTGATGTCACCCATGGACCCTAGCAAGCCTAGCTCCATATTCAAGGTCCCCATTGCTCTTTCCCCACAACATTTTTGCCCCTCCATCAATCAATGGGCAATGGAATGCGTAGTGTACATTCCCGTTCGAGTTAATGCCCTCTTGTCCAGGGCCTCTTATTTTTGGTGTGTCATTTTCTTTCGCCGATGCCCGCCTAGACTTGCGCTTAGGGGAAGCCGTGGTCATACACAACCTCGATTCGCTTTGCCCTTACCTCAATCGTATCCGCTCTTTACCGCCGCACTAAGCCGCAAGGATTGGGGACGTTGTGCAGGTGCAGGCAAACCAAACTCTCAACCCCAACTGTGCTCGCCCTCTCTCCTTTTCGACTTGAAAGTCTCGGCCCAGTTTATGCTTTCCGGAGCTATAATAGTCCCTCGAGTCGCCCCCCAAGACGAGCATAGAAAAGTTTATTCTCCTTCTTCCTCTCTTCTTTGCTTCCGCATCCTGCATAACACACTAAATACAAGGAGCTTATCTCTCCCCTGCAAACCGCCCTTATCTCAACCCCTTACTGGAAAACCCTCCTTTTTGTCTTCAAAGAGCACAATCGAAGCCAGATTCTGATTTTCCACCTTCCCCCTCCTAACACTTATTTCTTTTAAGCAATCCCACCGTATACAATGGCACCACATGCAGACGACCGCTCAGGCGGCACCTCTTCGGCCGCGGCCGGCTCCCGGTTCCATGCCGCTTCCACGGACGCCGCAATCTCCGCCGAGAACGAATACGCCGCCCACAACTACCACCCCTCCCTGTAGTCTTCTCGCGCGCACAAGGTGTTCACGTCTGGGACCCCGAGGGGAAGCAGTACTTTGACTTCCTTTCTGCCTATAGCGCTGTGAACCAGGGCCATTGCCACCCCGAACTAGTCAAGGCGCTCTGTGATCAGGCCGGCAGACTCACGCTGAGCTCTCGAGCTTTCTACAATGACGTATTCCCTAAGTGGGCCGAGCTTGTTAAGGATACCTTTGGCTATGACATGGTCTTACCCATGAATACCGGAGCGGAGGCAGTCGAAACCGCTATCAAAATTGCGAGGAAGTGGGCGTACAAGGTCAAAGGCGTCGAGCAAGGAAAAGCCTTGGTTTTTCTGTTGATGGGAACTTCCACGGACGAACAGCAAGTCTAACCCGCAATATAACCAAAGAACCGCCCCCCCCCCCACCTTTCTCTCCTCTACAAAGAATCCATTTCATGCATAATTTCGAGCTCTCCAACTAACACTTAAACGCGCAGATGACCGCCATTTCGCTTTCGAACGATCCAGAGTCGCGAGACAACTATGGGCCCTATGTGCCAAACATCAGCTGCACAATTCCTGCCACCGGAAAGACCATCCGCTACAACAGCGTTGATGACATCGAGGAAGCTCTCGAGAGTCACGGCAAGGACACGGCTGCCTTCATCATCGAGCCCATTCAGGGCGAGGCAGGCGTTGTCGTGCCGGACGAAGACTATCTCGCACGAGTCCACGAGCTTTGCAAGAAGAACAATGTCCTACTCATCTGCGACGAGATTCAAACCGGTATCGCGCGGACGGGTAAGATGCTCTGCTCGAATGGTCGGGAATCAAGCCGGATATCATCACCCTAGGAAAGGCCATTGCCGGCGGAATGTACCCTGTCAGCGCTGTTCTCAGCCGCAAAGAGATCATGCTGGTTGTTGAGCCCGGCACCCACGGGTCCACTTTTGGTGGAAACCCTCTCGGCGCAGCGGTATCTATTCGCGCACTTGAGCTTGTCAAAGAAGAGAACATGGCTGCTAGGGCAGACAAGTTGGGCCGTCTCTTCCGCGAGACCATTACCGCCTTGAACTCGCCCATTGTGCAGACCGTCCGCGGAAAGGGTCTTTTAAATGCCGTTGTGATCGATGAGTCCAAGGCCAATGGCAGGACAGCCTGGGACCTTTGCATTTCGCTAAAGAACAGAGGCATTCTTGCCAAGCCTACTCACGGCAACATCATTCGCTTTGCACCCCGCTGGTGATTACCGACGAAGAGCTCCGCAAGGCCCTCGACCTGATAACTGAGGCTATTGAGGGGTTGCCTAATGCTGAGAAAGCTGTGGCACACTAGGCCTCAGATGTCGATGCGAACACGGAGACATGAAAATAGGAGCTTCAAACGAAATGTGCGAGGATGCCATATTGCTTCGCGCTCTATCATCACTTTGTTTCCCTATATATCGGGGAGCATCCCGGTCTTCTCCTTCTCTTTATAGTTTCTACTAACCATTTTCTTTTTTTATCATCTTGATGATGCCACTATATCCACACCCTTTTCTTCCCTTCCTTTTCCTCTTCTAGGGTTTACATGCTCGGGAACGCAAGAGGCGTAATCTAGTGGGTCTTTTTGGCGGACTTTGGGAAACATTGGGAGTTTCACTGAGGAATCGTTTGTTTGAACTCTTTCGGGTTAGATGTATACCCCCTGGTTGCGGATGATGCAGCTGGGATGAGGGCAGGAAAGCAATTTGGATAACCATTAATACTTTTCCTCACGATATTAGCATGCGGCTTGAAGCTGCCTCCTGACGATATACCAATTGAAGATACCACGGGTTATGATTCATCAATACTATCTTGCAAAGTTACAGGGACGTCGACGAACCTGGTAAAGTTGTTTCGCCCAAAATCCTAATAATGAGATGAAAGAAGCGTGTGTGTTGCCTCGCACGCCCTGATACCCATATGGCTGCCCATAGAATCATGGCATTTGCTAAATCTAGTACCGAGGATCATGCTGCCCTGACGGCACCCGGATCGCCAGTGCTCCTAAAGAGTAGACGAATAGTTGAAGGAGAGAGTCCAGAGTCCCCTACACTCAATATACTTCTTAGCCTTCACAGCCCTCTTCTCTTTCCTTTGAATCATCGTTCTGGCCCAAGTCAAACGCCCATTCTTTGGTTCTCCGCCCTCTACATAGCTCCGCTGGCTTCCATGGACAACCCGCAGTCTAGTCTTGAGCCTGAGCACTCTCGGTTCCCCGTAATTCGATATCCTAACTTTGGCTATGGGGTCTCTAAGGGCTAAACAGGCCTTGAGCGTAGGTTGCGTTGCCTATGGGTCTTACATTGGTACTTTGCCCTGCCCCGACTTCACTGCAAGACGGACCTAGGCAACACCATAGACGATTAAGAGCGAGCAGGGACTCGGAGTGAGGATCTACAGAATGACCTCACGCAGGGTTAGGCACCTTTTCCGGTTCTTAGTGCTACCATTAGCAAATGGGGTAGCGCGGTATCCTTGGTGATTGGCCAGAAGACTCGGGGTTGTGCCAACAAGCTATCTATGTGTTTGGCTATGTCGATGGTCTATAATGTGTATAGAAGACGGATCTTTGTCCCTTACTTGCTTGTGGGCTTACCAGGGTCCACTAGATATTGTACGACTCGGAGAGAGTACTCTTAGGGATGGCCTCTTGGAGGGGGCCTCATGGCGTACTTGAGGCCGAGGGCCATTGCCTTCATCGTCCTCTTCTAGCTCTTTACCCTTGTTTCCATTCCTCCCACCCCATCATATTAACCAAGCAAGCAGCTGATGTCACGATGTAGGGTTATAGCAAACGGAATCATGCCCTCTTCATATCAAGTTCAAAACACCATGGTACAAAACAGCTTCAATAGATAAGTATTCAGCACAGGATGCCTCATGATAGGTTCACTATCACAGGACCGCAGGCTGTAGAAGACTCCGAAATGATGCCCGTGGACGAAAGGCATGTCGGGATTTGCATGCAATGAATGCTTGAAGCTGGAGGCCGTAGGCGTCTAGTGTAGAACCAAATGGACGCAATGAACTTTCTCGCCATAAAGATTGCTATGAATGTCGGGAGCCTGGTCGGGAGAGGAGGAGGGGATACGTGGATGCCATTATGAGGCATTGGCTAGCGACTGCGTGAGCCGGACAGTGAAGGTATCTAGAGATTCATGTATATTCCTTGCCACATGGCTACTGGCTCTGATAAGCTTCGCTTTCTCTCGTTTCTTGCTTCGTATATGAAGGGAGGTATGTGAATGGTGGTATGCTACGCACTATGCTTGCCCGCTCACTATGCAGCACCCTAGCTTCGCATCTTCACGCCCAACCCTTCAAAGCGTCGATTCAGTCAGTCGCCTCTTTTCTCTTCGTCAATTCTCCTCATCTTCAAGTTTCAAAGCGTGCAGCAAGCCCCATTTTTGACATCTGCTGCCGATCGAGCTCAACCTCGATAGGTGACGTGTCAGGCCACCACCGGGGGGCACGTTTCCGGCATCTCGGACTTGGAACTTGGGAAAAGATGTGATGGCGACGGGGTAGGTCTCAATCAACCGGACACCGTGCTGGGGGCGCAAACCCGCCTCTTGTTACGGCCAATGTTCGGCGTCGGGGGCTCCACAGGGCTGCAAGCTTTCATCAAGTTTCAGGCCAAGACCGTGTCCTTGAGCGTTGCGATTCTCCCAAACGAGCAAAACCTGTCAAGCCACGCTATGCGCGCAACGCCGGGACTGGAAGCCCATTGCCCACTCAAAATTGCTACTCCTACCTTGCTGCGCGCGCTAGAAAGATGTGGTTCAAAACGATGGCACCAGCGGGCAGGTGGAACGAAAGGAAACCTCGATACGAACCAATGCTCTCAGTGTCCCCACACCGATGAAGGCTGGTACAAGTGGACTTTTATGTGATGGGTAGCGGGCACGACATCCTCAATGGTCGATCACTCGCTGATTGAACCAACGGATATCACTCTGGATTCGGAGGGGAGGGTGTTGCCTACCTGCCTGGGAGGATTGCTGACAACCCGCAACAGGGGCCGGATGCACTTTCCCAACTTGTGTCTCCTCCACATTTTTCCCTGTCCACTCTCCTTTGCCCGATTCTTCCAGTTCAAGAGATAAATATTAATATTGCGGGAGATCAAGAAAAGGAGAAAAGGGCAATCAAGGTGCAAGGCATCCATGCGCGTGGGCAAACGGATGCAATGCCGACAAGGGTATCCGGCATTGCGGGGCGAGGCAAACAGGCGACAGGCCAGGCAGGCAGCTTGATTGAGGCTCAAGACAAGAAAGTCCTACATGTATTCCATGGAACAGCCAGTCAAGGCAAGGAACGACAGGATTGGGGGCTTGCTCCTTGGAGCTCAAGAGCAACTGGCACATGGAGTGTACCCCGCGCGGACAAATCATCAACCAAGCACTTGCATTGACGGAAGCAGGCAATTCAGGTCTGCTGTGCAAGGCGCAGATGTGCGGTACCTCGGCCTTTCCCCGAAACAAAAGTTACAAATTATTGCTGAAAGAAAGCGAACATGTCATTTTGGTCGCTGGAGAGCGTCGATCCTGAGGTAGAAAGTCTCGGTCAGAGATCAAAAATCTGGGGAAACATAAGGATTCTCAATAATCTTAGAGTGATGTGTGAGGCGTATCAAGTGAGAAGCAGAAGTCCAGGCTGCATCTTGGCCAATTTGATACTGGGCTCAACTCGATGCATATTCCGCGACGAGAACTCGTCGACGCCGCTAACACCATAAAGGGAGCTGGTATCAAGCAAGAATGCGACTCCGACACAACCGATATTTTTGGACCTCTGGAAGTAGAGCTTCGGCCCCTTTAGTGGGTTTTACGGAAGGTCGGCCATAGCATTGGTTACTTTGATAGTGTGAGAAGCGCCCTTGGGTTAGCATTGAAATGAGTGAATGGATGTCAGGTGATGGCGCAATGGATGACACTTTCTTCGTCGTCGATGGCGATGGCCCAAAACCGCGTCCCCGATCTGTGGTGGCAAGTCAAAATTGGTTAGACTGCACGGTCCAAGCAAAAACAGCCATATTAACGGACGGGGGAATACGGAGTGTCAAGGAAAGGTGTTGCTGGAATGGCAGAAGGCCAAAAGAAAGAAGAAGACAAAAGGAGAGGAAAACGGGACCAGACAAAGGTAGAAGAGAGTTTGACTTTCGGAGCTGACGAGCTCAATAAACAAACGGTGAAAACGAAACACTATGTCCCTTTACAGCATCGATATCGCCGTTGCCTGTGACATCCTGCACGGTAGAACCTGTCCGGCCTGCTTTTGACACCCACCGACAGCGAATTACCACATAGTGATTGGGCCGTCCGATCAACTGATCGTCCCCATTCCAAGGAGCCATGCAGATAGAGCTTGGGAAGTTGGCGCCACCTCCAAACAGCACACGATCCCCATTCAGTAACCTGTCAGTTGAGGGGGCAGGCAACTTCTCAGGCAACAAGAAACTCTAATATCGCATCTTCCAGCACCTTCACCCGGGGCCCGGTCGGGTGGGTGGCGGATGATGCTGTCAACCCACTGACAGTCGCGTGTGGTAGCTCAGTCCGTTTGTCATCTACACGAGATGGTTGATGGAAGTGAGAGAGGCTTTCACGGTGCGGGTAGATACAACGGCTTGAAGGTATTGCTCCAGGACAGCTGATGGCTTTTTACTAGTCAAGCAAGTGATAGATGTTCGAAAGCCACATGCACTCCAAGCAATTCCAAAGCATCCACGGATCCACTATCAATTCTTCCCAGTGTTAGCGCTTCGACATTTGGCGGGATATAATTGATCCACCATGCAGGACCAAAGGTCGAAGAATCCATGGATCTGTGGCCCAATGGCTGTGGATGCCCGCAATGAGCCGTTCCTTCTTCATCCACTTTGATCCTCTTCTGATTTCGGACCGCTACCGTATAAGGAACGTTTGGCCTCCTATCATCCCAGCAACGAGTAATTCTTCGCAAAATTCCGAAGTGTACAAGCAGCACTGTTGAACTGTCTGGTGGTTTCAACGGAGTGAGGGATCCTCTGCATCATCATTCATGATACGCTCAATTTAGCCCAACCGTCCATGCCCACCCTCTTCAACGTTTCAATATCTCGACACACCCACTGTGACGAAATGGGCACCTACCTCTGTCGACCCAAGTCCCACTCCCACCTCCCTGCGATCCCACCACCGTTGGTGGAGGTGGAGTAGACCATGTACCGCGGCGT